TTTCTAAAAACGATCGTTTCGTTTTTGGAAATACGGGAGTTTTTGAACTATAAAAAAATTAAAAACAATCGTTTTTGAAAACGATCTTTTTATTTTTAGACGATCGTTAAAAAAATATTTTCGCTAATGAATGACAAGTAATTTAAATTTTTTTAAAATATGAGATTTTGTCTTAAATACTTTTTTATCGAAACAAATTGCCTGAATGTTTTCTGGCCTCGGATTTTCGACCAAACAATGTATTTTCTCTATAAAAGGTTGTTAACGATCGTTAACGAACGGTCTTTGTGAACGGTCGTTAACAAAGGTTCGTCGTTAACGGTCGTTAACGAGCGGTCATTTTCATAAACGGTCGTTTTAAAAAACGATCGTTACGTTTTTTGGTTTTTCTTTGTCGTTTTCAAAACGAAACGATCGTTTTTCATCAAAAGTGGAAACAATCCATCCGTAATTGTGAGTCGAAAATGCCGCTCTAGAAATTGAAGATCACTTGAAATTAATTCTACAGTCCCTTTAAATAGAATAAAAGAACCGTGATGTTGGATTAAAAAGAATGGAAGAAACATGTAATGACAATAGAACTATTGCGAAATAAATGCAAATAACTAGTTGATTGTACCTAGGCATAGATAACCCCTGTTGGTCCTATCTAACCGGAAGTAGTAAACTAAACCGGAAGTAACTAAAGTAAACTCTCAAAAACTTTCCCTTGTTAACATTAAGAGTATTATTTAAATCTTTCAATGGAATCTGTAGCAGTCATATCTCACATCTTAAAGCGACCGTAAAGGAAAATGAAAAGGGGTATAGGCTGAAAGATCTTGATCGCGACCAATATCGAAATCTGGAGAAAAAAGAAAAAAATTTCGAAAAAGGCGAGGGGCTGTTTGTCATATGAGTTTTTTTTATAATGTATGAAAAATAATTTGAAAATGGGTGATCCGAGCCAGATGTTTCTAATATTACGTATTTTTATTTTATATATATCAAGTCTTGTAAACTTTTCATGACAATTTGTAAAAATATTCAATTAAATTGATTTAATAGATAATTTAATGTTGTTTTCTTTTCAATTTGATATATATATATATAACACGTATGATGAATGCAAAAGAAAGTAGTTCTACTGCATAACCGACCGTTTAAAAGGATTACAATTATATTATTTATATGTATGAAGGGTCACTTAAAAAAAAAAATACTCGGAAAAAATCTAATTATTTAACTTACTTATTTAACTTCAGAAGATAATTTATTTAGATAGGATAAATAAAACAAAAACGGGGTAATACGAGTAAATAAAAATACGTAATATTAGAAACATCTGGTTTTAGAAAACATAAACATTACACCGCGCTCAAAATACTGTTTACATAAACCCAAACCTTTTAATCTGTTTAAAAGTAAACAAATCTATGCAATCTAATCCGAAGCTAAAATAATTTAGAATTTTGTAATTTATACTTTAGATACAAAAATTAATGTTCAGAAAACAAAGGGAAAAGTTTTCAGGGGCGTCAGGATATATATATATATATTAATACGTTATAATACTCTTCTTTTACAAATCGTATTTTGAGCTAGAACTGCGCCATTTCTTAGTGTTTCAAGGGACTTAAAACACTACATTACATTATCAAGTAATCTTTCGTGCAATATTGGCTAAACAATTCGTACCTTGACCCATAATAGCGTTGACTGATTAAGTATGAATCAAATATCAATGAAAACTAATGATTTTCAATTGTGGGGTCTTTACTTAGTAATTTGGTTATTTCTAATGCAGGAAAAAAATATAAGAATTATCAGAATTAAACCATTTTTGTGATCTAGAAACGACAATATCTTCCAGATTATTGATTGATATTAATGATTCAAGGGTGCCATTGGCAATCGGGCATTACCACTTTTGCCATGGAGGGTCACTTGAAATTACTCTTACAGTCCTCTTAAAACAGGCCATTGCATTCTGTTGCAGTTCAATTCACTATTAACATATTTAATTTTAACATCTTGAACATAATTGTATTATTTTTCTATTTAAATAGAAAACATAAAGTAATGGTTGTTAGAGAGTAAACAAGTCCCTGGGTTCAGTTTTAGTTGACAACTTATTTTTTTATATTCTTCATGGATAAATAAGAAGCAATGCTTCGATAAAATATTATGTACTTAACCCCCTCCACCAGCTTCTACCCACCTACATCTCATTTTTCTCACAACAAATATTGCTCTAAATATTTAAACTGCTGAATTTAATAATGATTTCATTTACTCACTTCATATTCTGCAAATTCATTAATTTAGATTTTATTGGTCATATTTTGGAACAATGCAGATGTTGTAAACAGCAAATTAAAGGGACTGTAAACGTAATTTCAAGTGATCCTCCGCTTATACCCTGAAAAATCCTATCTGATCAATAATGACGTGATATCCTTATTTTTCTACATAAAAATTGATAATTTTAGATTGTAGTTATTTTATTAAAATTACTTGCGGATTTATGTTGCAGAGCAAAGGAAGGAAATTTTGAGAATTTAACACCTCAAGATAGACAAATCACGATATATTCCTCACCGTTCATTTGAAAATACGTCCACAGTTTCTTTAACACGAGCTAATTTTTATTATTTTTATTAATTAATGTTAACACCCCCCAATACATAGCTCTTTATCGTTTACGTTGGGATAAATGTTGAATATTAGATGCTTTTTTATAGATCTCTTATAAAAATGTATTTTCAAGCGGGAACAAAAAAGTCATAATAAAATTAAACATCAATCCTTAAAATAATTTAAAGCAATTAATTGTTTAATAAGTCCTTTGAGTAAAACCATCACCAGAATTTTCAACAATAATTTTAGAATATTTTTAGTATTTTCTAAAATATTTTACAAAAAAAACTTCAGATTACGTGTACAACATATGATTTAAAATTTCTTGTCCTAAAAATTTATGATCCCCCAACTTTCGCAAAAACAGATTTATAAGAATTTTTTCCTATTTCTGAGATCTTACATGTTTCTAACTATTAACAAACACAAAAACTAATTCAGTCAAATTATTCACAAGTTCAAATATTCAGAGTTTAGTTATCATCAGAATTCTTTCAACATTCTTCTAAATGTTGGGCATTCATTAAAAGATACTCTTTAAAGCAGGGCGTTTACCTATATATGTACTTTGTTTGTTTGTATCCAAAAAACGTAAAAACGGCTGAACCAATCGAGCCCAACATTTTTAAGGCAACTCACATGATCAGGGAAGGTCTACGAACCGTCAAAGATAAATAATTTTGGCCGGAAAAATGAAAACAATAATTATTGTTGATTCACTTGTTTAAATAGAAAAATTCGCTAAAATTTAGGTATGATTAAATATTGCCACTTTCAGAGCAACATTTAACCCCATAATGACTGGATGGTCTGAATCTATGTATAACCTGGGGGGGGGGAGGGGCGTCCCACGCCCCCTTACTAGTAAAAGGTCATAAAGGAAATGTATCTTCATAGGCCAATTTTTTACGGATAGCCCATTGAAAAAAAGACCACTAATTTTTATAGTTTGGGAACTAGGAAGGTTTCAAAAAATGCCAAAAGAAAGTAAAAATGTAAAAAATATATTTCTTTTGGTGACAAATTCTACGATGTGTCACATGTTTCTACATACGTTATAAAAGGACGCTGAGTCAGAAAACAGTTGTGGGCTATTTTAGATTTTTTTCAAACGCAGACTGGACTTTTAACCGCCTTGTACCCTACTCTAGCATTAAAGAATTGAAAAAATTACTTTAAAAAGTCAAAAAGTAAAAAAATTTCAAGGTGTCTTGTGTGAGTTGAAAGCTAAAATTGTTTGTAGGAAGGGGGCGCGAAACTTATAGTAAGTTAAAGATTTTCACTTCCAGTATAGAGTTGCACTAAAAAAAACATTTTAAAATACGTTTAAAATTATTTTTTAAAGTTTAAAGAACAATCTTTTTTGGTCCTTTTTTCTATGAATATTAATCACATTTACATATTTAACATTTTTGAAAATCTTAATACCGAAATTTATATAAAAAGTGATCTTACTTCATCTCCTTATACCCATGATCAAAATTAAATTGAATTAATATATCAAGTCTTGTAAACTTTTCATGACAATTTGTAAAAATATTCAATTAAATTGATTTAATAGATAATTTAATGTTGTTTTCTTTTCAATTTGTCTAGTGAGGAGAAGGGGGGGGGGGGAAGGAATATCTTCAAAATGACAAATTTGAGAAATAAGCCAGAAATTGCAAAAACCTGACAAGATATAGGACGAAGGTACCAAATTCAAGGATCCTGTGCTGAAATAAGAAAGAATCTTATTAAAATAATTTAACCAGAATATTCTGGTTAAGGAAGATAAAAAATGTATTTTCCTTCTCCTCTTATCTGAGAAGAAAAATATGTATTTTTTAAATAAATTTTCTCCCTCTTCCACACTTTTTTATAATTCTTTTCTCATTTCTCACCTTTATCATTTCTGATTATCCCTCCCTCGGCCTACCCTATCCCTCCCTCGCTCGGCCCACCCTATCACTCCCTCGGCCTACCAATATCCCTCGCTCGGCCCAACCCCACCATCCCCCCAATGTTTGTGCAATAATGATAATGCTTGAATTTATGTTTTATGAACCTAATAACAAATTCTAAGAATTGAAATCTTTCATTACGATTTTTCTAAATGAAATTTTTCACGGTTTTGCCACTTTCATTTCTTGTCTTTCAACCTTTCAGAAGGGAATGGTCCCCTTCAATGATTAAATATGTTAAGGCTTCAACAAAATTTCCCACGTTTTCTTGGACACCCAACCCAATTTCCATTTTTTTGGACACTACCCAGTTGCCATGTATTTGACGAGACACCTTACCCGATTCCCATGTTTTTGGAACACCCTGTATATCCTGTTTATGTGAGACCCTGTATATCCTTGTGTATAGTTTATTATCCAATGTTGTTAATATTTCAGGAGTTAATGTTCCAACCTATCCAACCACCACACCTAAACTCTCAGGGCAGAACCAACCCATAAAGGTAAGGATTAAAGGTTTTGAGGGATTTGAGATAATTTAAAGGATATATTGAATTATCCAGGGTTGCCTTCAAAAGACGAGACTTTAAGAAGACTTTCATTGGACTTGGAAGAAAATGTCGTTTTTCTGATTCGAAAAGTGTTTTTTTTTTCTGTCGATTTCTCCATTGCTTCTTACAAGCAAGACACTTTCGCAGAGAAACCGCGAATGAAAATTAACAGTTTGAAGAAACAGAAACATGAATATCTAATTCCTAATAGACTTGATCAACTTTTAAGACTACCATTGTAAATTGCGCATTTCCATCTTTGCGTGGAGCGTAAAAAGAAATTACGCTTAACGTCCCTTTAATGATGAATATAACGGCCTAGAGATTCAATTTGGGTTTTTGCTTCGAATGTCTATTAGAATATTTAATGATTTGACTTAAAAAAACATGTTTACAGCTGTTGTGAACCTTGAAAGTATTATCAAAATCTTCTCTGCAGTCTCATCCTTTGTGGGTAACCCCGACACGTGGCACGATCGGGTGAACTACTTTTTAAAAAGAGAAAGAAAGAAATTGCTTTTATTTTTATGTTGCAGAAAAAGTAGATTACATGTTTTTAGTGTTTCCAGGGATAGGTCTTCAGCTAAATATACGTTCTAAACGAAAACTACGCATAAATTATAAAAATACGCAATTCAACATGTCCCCTCCCTTACGTCAGGAATCACTTTTACAACAACTATTAATAAGATAAGTCAAGTCATTATTAGAATTAGAATTTATGATAATAATTTTCCTTGATTTATGTCATAAACATTTTCATTAATTATTATAATTTAATATTCATATATGGAGACCAGGGGTATTATTGAAAATAATTTTTTACTTTTGGTATATTTGAGCGAAGTGACAAAATAATTTTGTGATTTATTCGCTGAAAAGGGGAAAATAACAGATTTTTTGGGAAAATAATTAATATTGGATAAATGAAATAATTAATCTTTCANCAAAAATATAACCCAGATGGAGACCTATTTAATGACATACTTTTTTCTAACTAATATCATGATTTTTTATAAAATTTCTGCATGGGATAATTTTATTCTTTATGAATGATTTGCAGGTTTTTAACATACAAACTTTTTTTTCTTGCTGATTTTTAAATTTTTCTTTAAAACATATGCAGTATAAAGAATTAATCCGGTTCATTAGTTTAGTTTTATTCTCCCAATAAGATTAAAATTATTTCTGAATAATTCTATTTTCTACAAGACAAAACTAATAACTTTTAAAAACTTAAATACATGTTATTAAAAAAATCTGTTTTCTCAGTAATATGGATGAATAATTAATTAATTGGTAAAACTTAAACTAACATAATTTGGTAAAATACTTACAAATAGTTTACACCGGAATACATATTTAAAAAAGATCACACAATTGAAGATTTATTTGCTTAAACTGTATATATAATATATATGTATTTACATATATCTTATAAATGCGCATATAAATTACTAAACTGAAATTTTGGATTGAATTTCTTGGATTTAGTCGTACCGGAAGCAGGAAACAATTTGATTCGGTTTTATGTGGTTGTTAGATTGTATTAAACACTGATATAATTCAAGTAACAGGGAGGGGGGCACTAAAAATTGAATGACAAGGACAGGGGGGAATTGATGGGATCTGAACGGGGGAAAAGTTTAATTATATTCTCGGTGTGAAAACATTAGAACCAAGGGGGAAACTATATTCTTCAGTGAAGCAATGGAGAGAAAAGGGTTTTTAATTTTTAATCTTAAAAGATATCTTGTGAACAATTTTATCATAAATAAAATGTGTTACTTAATGGAATTCATTTGGGTACATAATTAAACAATCTGCATTAAACCATGATATTTTTACAAACTAAAGCAATGCAAATATTATAAAAATGTATATATGATGCAAGTCCGTGTGTAAATATTTGTACGATTCATGGCCATGTGTAAGTACTTACCCTCAGTGTATAAGTACTTTTACGTCTGTGTGTAAGGTCTTGTACGTCTGTGTGTAGTTACTTATACGTCCGAGTGTTAGTACTTGTATGTCCGTGTGTAAGTACGTGGACGTCCGTGTGTAAGAACTTGTATGTCCGTGTGTAAGTACTTTTATGTCCGTGTGTAAGTACGTGGACGTCCGTGTGTAAGTACTTGTATGTCCGTGTGTAAGTACTTGTATGTCCGTGTGTAAGTACTTGTATGTCCGTGTGTAAGTACTTGTATGTCCGTGTGTAAGTACTTGTTTGTCCGTGTGTAAGTACTTGTATGTCCGTGTGTATGTACGTGTATGTCCGTGTGTAAGTACTTGTATGTCCGTGTGTCAGTACGTGGACGTCCGTGTGTAAGTACTTGTATGTCCGTGTGTAAGTACTTGTATGTCCGTGTCTAAGTACTTACCGTCCGTGTTTTTTTTCTGACAATGTAATTTTCTACTTGGCCTTGTCCAATCCTTAAACAATAGTTTAGAAAAATTTTCATTGTTTTATTCGCGCATTACAATCGTACGGAAACCCTATCGCCCCCTCCTTCTATTCAATATCTCATTGATTCACACCATAGTAGTTGTATGCAGTACATCAAAATGTTATAGAATGTTCCTTGGACAATCCGTTACAACTTACAAGATGTTCTTTTTTCAAGTTGTCAAATAATCTTTCAAAGTTTTTAATTGGTGAAATAAAATCATTATTTTATCAAACTTAAAAATATTTTTCAATTTAACTGTTTTTTGTCAAGAAGTTTTAAGGCCCCAAAGGTTTTAGACCACTAATATGTAAATACGCTTGCAGTACGGCAACGTTACAAACAAAATGGGGGTTTTACACTTTTTGGAGTATTCATTATCTGCTCTGTGGAGAAACCCCTGTTTACAAGTTGTGTAAGATATTAGTGAGTGTAGAGCCAAGATATATATTTCCTATTGTGGGCCTTTTCTTTTATATTCTATTAAGGAAAGTAAGAATTGAGTTTTCTTTTTTCTTTTTCCTTCGGTCTAATTAGATCTTATGTGTAACAGAGAGAGATTTTTCAATAACAATTATTTATACTGAGATAAAGATTATTCTAAACTTTTTGTTTTTAACAATTTCAAAAACAACTGTGGCTCAGTATGAACCCTTTGAGATCAAAATTCAAAAATTATAAAAAATGATATTTTTTAGGACATTTTATTTCAATTTTTATTGTCTTTGACGATTTATCGACTTGAGTCCTAAAGTCGCATTTTTTCTCAGATTTTTTAATGATTTCCGGTCGCGTGAAATATAAAAATGTCGGCAAAAGGAAGAAAAGAGTAAAATTCTATAAATACGATCTTTTGGTGGGGTTATTCTAATGGTTGAAAGAGGGGCGTAAAATGTGTTTTAATTTACTAATCCATTGCTCAATTAAACTTTCTCAAATCTAGATTTTACTTTGTTTTATCAACAGTTCGTTTAAATATCATAAAATAACCCCCCCCCCCCCCCCCCCAAACAAAAAGGACGCCGGGTGGGGGGGGGGGGGGGGGGGGGGGGGGGGGGGGGGGGGGGGGGGGGTTATATTTTGATTTAATCTGTATCAAATTGATTTGTTAGTAAGTCTCGTCGAACGTCCAGTTCAGAGCAATATTTTTCAAGATAAGTAAATGTTTCAAAGAATTAGACCCGGCCCCCTTAAATTTCAGCAAAAAAGGAGTATGTAGAGGAATTGATTTCTTGCTACAAACGTTGAAGTTCTTACCCCTTTTATCTTTAGAACTTAATATCGTAGACCTTAAATATTTCATACTATGAACTTTCTTTTTTCAAATAATCTAACTGAAATATCAAAGGCTTAGACTATCATGTTGGAAAGATTAAGGGATTATGAAGTTTAAGTTTGATGGCAAAGACTCAATTCCTTTATCCGTGCCAGAAATACTAATCATAATAAGTATTAGCATGAAATTGATTGGTAAAATGTTTGCATTGATAAAGTTCATTACAGGGGTAGATATTTTTAACAATTGATTTCCGATGATCTGAGGAAAACAATGAAAAAAGGGCATCTAAGGCCAGTTGTTAAATTTTTTTTTTGAAAATTTTTTAATTTTTTTAAAAATTTTTTGTACAGGAAGTGAAAACTCGCTCCAAAGCTTTTAATTTTTAAATCTCATTTCTTATTTATCTTAATCTGATGCATGGTGTAAACCTTTGATATTGCAAATTTTGGCTATTTTATCTAGCAGATTCAACGGTTTAAATTGCAAAGAATATTAAAGGATTTAAAAATATAAGGTTTCGAAAATTAGAGTTTGAGAGAAAAATCCAAAATACAGAAAAAGAATTCATGGCTTTTCCAATATTTGTTTTTACAATTTCAACCTTTTTTATGTGTTATCATTTTTTGCAACTCTCGTTTTTTTTCTAATCTAAGAATTGTTAAACTATTACAATTTCCTAAATTTTTTCCAAAATAAAAATCTTCAAGTCATAAATAGAAAAGCCACAATTTTATATATTTATTTTTTATAACATTGATATAATAAAAATTCATTAGAACTGAAATTATTTTTAAATATGTGGAACTAACAACTATTTTTATTTACTCTGTTAGGTTTGGAGCATATTTAACAGCAAAGTTTAGATTTTTATATATACATATATATGAAAGTATCTAGTCCTGTTTAGCTGACAAATCCAGGCTTCTCTCATGTTTATATTATACATTTATCTAAAAAATATTAATATATATCTTAAAAGAAAGTGTTTACTAAACATTATAAGAAAGGAGCTGAGCTCTCATTGATACAGACTTAACAAGTTACGCCTTTGATTTCGCCTCAATAACTAGAAATAATTCCTTGTTGCGCTAGACATGTGTATTTTAGAACTGTAACACACTTCTTTGTAGCTTAAGTTTTTGAAAAGTAATTGGCAAAATTCTAATCGATTTGTGCGTGTTTTCCAGTATTGTTAGAAATTCTTTTTCTAATTGTGTGTAATATTTTTAAAGAAACAATTAAGATTTTTAATTATTTTTTTTCTGAGAAAACAAAAAAGATTTTTGAATATTAGTTGAATAGATTTTCCTTGTGTATTATCATTTTTATCTGTCTATATATAAACTTTGCTTGTCTGGGTTTGTCTGTTGTATCCAATAAACGTCAAAACGGCTGAACCGATCGGGCCCAAATTTTGTGTGGGACCTCACGTGACCCCAGGGAAGGTTAATTGATGATCAATTTGCCTCTAACAAAATTTAAAATTTTAAATTTTAAAAATCAACGATTATTTAAAAAAATCGCAAATTTTAGAGAGAAAAAAATTTCAATGTATTCAAAGAGAACATGTTCTCAATTGAAATGGAAGCGCAAAGCGCCCTAAAAGCCTAGTAATTAATATTTCTCCACACAACCGTCAATTAAGAAGATATTTGAAATTTATGAAATATTTTTAAGAATTTGAAATTATGATAATTACCTTTTAAGGTACCGGGTAGCCTTTAAACCTACATTTGATCAATAAGTGTTTTATTTTGATCATTTTTCATATTGTCTCTGCAAGAAAAATACACAATTCAGTTTTGTAGAGAAACCATAAATTAAAAATAATGATTTAAAATAGATAAACATAAATAACACATTCATTCTTGACCAGAAAAAGGTGTTCAGGGTACCGTTGGGAACACCGTTGTGAACACCACAGTTTCAGTAGAAGTAAATATTTACATTTACTGATTGCGCCGATTGAAGTATTCATAACTCTGATTGGATAATGAGATAGAAAGATAGATGTTACCGCCAATCGGCATACAGGAGTGTGAATTGGACAATCAGATATAGAAACTCAGGGTTCACTTGAAATTGCGACAGAACCCTTTTTAAACGATTACAATATTACCGAAACGAATTAAAGATATGTATTTCTCGGTAAACTAGAATATTAAAATTATTATTAATGTTCAGCCAGGATTTCCTCAAATACTTCCTCAGAACTAAAGATAGAAAAAACCGCTTTGAAGCAGCTTTAAAATCCTTATAGCCAGGGTTACATTTCGAAGTCGGGAGGCGCAATAGAGTAAAGGAATTGAGTCCTATAAACTCAAATATTCTAATCCATTTATCTTTGCAACCTTATGTCGAAAACCTGTAAAGTTTCGAAATTAGATTTTTAGATTTTATATTTTGAAATATCAAAGGTCTACGGCATTTGGTTGCAAATATATAGGGTTTAGAAAATCAGAGTTTGCGGCAGAGAATTAGTTCCTTTCATAGATGTGATATCTCATAGTACAACTAAAGGCCAAATTTATCTAGATATCTAGATATTTAGATATTTAGATATTTAGATATTTAGATATTTAGATATTTAGATATTTAGATATTTAGATATTTAGACATTTAGACATTTAGATATTTAGATATTTAGATTCGAAACTGAGATGGGAGGTGGTGCTTTTGTAAATATCTGTAACTGGTATAATTTGATCATATCACTACTCATTTATCTGGACTCAAATCTATTTTAAAGTTATACATAAGTTGAATATCTTGTAGTTTTAGGAACATTTACACCAACGAGGTTATAGTGTTTAGAGTGATGATGTACGCTAATCCTTTACTAATTGTAAAAGGCCATAAACTATACCGAGTGCGTACTGCATATTTGTTTATTATAAGGAGATTCTGGCCTAACCCATAGTATATCAATATTCGTAAACAGTGTAAGTGTCCAGTACAGCTAACTGAGCACACAGGAAGAGAACTATCATCCTCCCTGATTTACACTCGTGTCGTTTATTTACGTCATACCAGAGATTTGGGTGATCGTTTTGCGTTTTCTTCTTTTCTTGTTTGGCTTATAGGGACTGTAAGCGTAATTTCAAGTGACCCTCCATGAAAAGAAGGGAATGCTGGACCTTTAGTACCTTAATATGCACTCCTGTGTGCCGAGTCCATTAGCGCATGATCCAATCAGGGTTCAGTCATGTGTTTGGTGTCTATTCTGAACCAATAGAAATAGTATAGCGGTAACATATATCTTTCTATCTATCTCATTATCCAATCAGAGTTATGAATCCTTTAATCGGCGCTATCACAGTAAATGGAAATTTTAACTTCTACTGAAACTGAAACTGATCAATAATGTGGAAGATATTGTCGCTTTTCTAGATAAAAACGTGTTCAATGCACAAGTCACTGTCGCAGAGCAACCATAAAATAAAAAATGAACAGTTTTTAAAAACAACAACATGAATATCTTATTCATACTTGATACTAGTTTTTAGAGTTCTGGTTTTGAATCGAATATGCCATTTTATCCATGGAGAATCCCTTGATATTAAGTTTACGGTCCCTGTATCTATATGTACATATGGTTAATCGAATGCAAAGTTTTATTTTAAAGATTTGCCCTGAAATATATTTATTCAGACTTAATGTAATTTAAATTCTAATAAAAGAAAAACATTGTGCTGTATTTTGGAAATTGTCTGTTTAAAACGTATAAGTAAAACTACAAGTTGATAAAATAGGGGGGGGGGGGGGTCGCTAAGGTTCATTATGAGCATTTTTCGGCTAAACTGTTTTAGAAGACATATATATTTGATTTAGGCCGATTGTATAATAAAATCACCAATTTGTTAAAAATAAAATAAGAAACTTACGTCCAAGAAAACTTAGTGTTTAAATCATAAAAGCTTAAAAGTAATTTAAAACTTTCTTAAATGGGAAGAAACTCTCTTTGTTAAGTTGTAATCCACAAAAATAAAACTGTTTATCAACCTGTACAGTGTACAACAAGTAAACCTGACTGAAACAAAATTAGCTTATTCTGGGAATAAAGAATATTAAATTCTAAGTTTCTTTTTTATTTTTTTCTTAATCCTTAATTCTTGGTTAGTAGGATTTCATTAAATTTTTTGCATTTTCTATTATATTATTGGGAATCCAGCGTCGCCTAGAAACTAAACTTTCTCTATAAAAGTCAGTTTTCAATTTTTAGATCAGTGCTAAGAATCCATTTAATTTTGATGCGGATCCGGATCCTGGATCCGCACTGGAAATAAATGGATCCGGATCCGGATCCAGGTCATTTTTTAACAAAAAATAATTTTCAAATTTTTGTTTTATTTTTTTCTCTTATTTTTATCCTAAAACTTGATGAACCATTCAGAAATGAGGAAATTCTTATAATCTCTCTTTTTTTTAAACAGATTTGGGTTTTAAGAGTAAAAACTTGCGGATCCAACGAATCCGGATCCGGATCCTCAGCACTGAAACAAAGAACTAAGATCAAAATTGAGGCGATTTTGTCAAAGGGTTCATGAGTTATGATCGGAAATACAATTAAACAAATAACGTAACAGATAAACAGAGATTACTAATATATACGTATAGATATTTATATAAATGATTATTAATAATATATTTTATATATATAATTATATTTTTTTAGGAATTTTCTCCGTCACAGCAGAAAGGACTTAAAACTTCCTCTGTAGGGGTTCCAAAACCCCCTTTTATTGGGTCTAAATGGGCTAAGGGAGAACGCTTGAAAGGGGTAATAACAGGTAATATTCTAATAAACTAAGAATTTCCGAGACCGGTTTTATTTTTTCTGAAAAAAAAAATAATGAAAAGAAAACTATGGAGCCTCCACGGATTTGTTTATTTGTGTTTGTGTGAAGAATATAAAAACAGATTTTAGGTCTTTTTACATTGTTTTATGGGAGGAATATAAACACCGCAGTGCAAAAATATCTTTTTAGCAAAAACATTTCTTGGATGAAGATATAATATTTTATTCTCCTAGTAGTCCTGGCGATATCTACAGTTTACATGTATCATACTTAATTACGTTTCTATTTTGTTAGCTTGAAAAACCGAATACTTGCATATTTTGGGAAGTTGTTCGCCCAAACATTTGTTAGAAAATCAGAGGATATTATTTTCTTAAAAATGTACGAAAACATCGTAAAATTAGGTATTATTAACTTTTAAATGTTTTAAAAATTCAATTTTAATATATAATTACTTTTTTATCAAAAAAGTTTATCAGAAAGAACGTTACTTAAGTTCTTATGTTTAGGGTTTTATGAGAGTCCAGCTTTACATAGTCTGGGCGGACAAATATCTGCCTCTCCCCTCTCCTCCGCCTCCTCCCTTGTTGCTCCGCCCCCAACTGCCACTGTTCCGCCCACTCTTATACCTGTCCGATCCCTTCCAACCCCGACACAGGTATTAAAAGATATAAATTTTTTTTTTATTAAAATATTTTTTTCTTTGTTATAGATTTGTATTATGTTTTGGGTTCTTTCTATTGCTGAACACATTTCAGTGTTTTAATTATTATAAAAATAATTGATAAAAATTATTATATAAAAATTATTATAAAAATGATAAAAATAATTGATTTTTAAGGGGTCCTTGTCATTTCAACGGTGTCTATGTTTTTGTGATCATCAATTCGGAATATTTTGACGTTTTGTTTTTCTTACTTAAAATATACTTTTTTCTGAAGCAAAACTCAGTAAGTCACTAAAAAGAGAAATCACAAATAAAATTTCAAACTCTCAAAGAGAAAATTATTGATACCTCAGGGATGCTTTTTTGACACCGTTTTAATCAGAAGATGCAACAAATAATGCAATCTAACACAAATGGTGTAAATGTGTTTTTTGCATTGTTTTGTACGTATTTTATGTCTGAATGACTGGGCAAAACTCTTGCCCGATGATACCAAGAAAACTCGTTTAACGACTTTAATCAGACTTTTCCAAGAAACTTTTTAGATTTTTTGAGATTCATCTTGCAAATTTATAATTTTTCTTGGGAAATTGAAAAAAATATTAAGTTCAAAGGAATTGTTGATGTAATTTAAAGAAAATTTTCATCACGATTCACGAGGGATCAGATAAAGGTTTAAAGGATATCTTTGTGAATCCGTTCTGCCATATTTTAAAAGGCTGAGTGAAAGTTTTGTTATTTAGCTGTTATCACTTTAAAAAAAAAAGTCTCGCACCAATTAAAATTTATCTTTAAACCACTCTTTTCTCTTCTACTAATACTTTTACTTATTTTAAATTTTTGTTCTTAAAAAAGTTTTACTTCTAACTTATTTATTTTACTAAATTAATTTTTACCCATTAAACATTTTTATTTCATTATTATTATTTATTTAAAACTTTTTTTTATTTATATCTTCCATTAAAGAGAAGAACAATCTTTCCACAATGCTTTGCTTCATTTTTTATAAATTTTTAAAAAATGCTTTATTTTATAAACAGTTTTTTTCTTCAATACTTCTGCTTCTTACTTATTTATATTCCATACAAAAAAAATGCCTAAAAGAATATTTTATTTTTTTATCATTTCAATGTTTTTCTATTTAATCCTTTCATAAAATTTTTTTACATTTATTTCTTTTTTGTATTCTTGAAGGATGTTGGTTTCTGTTCTTAATATTTTTGCTTCGTTTATTCCATTGAAATAGTGTTTTAAATATTTTGTTTATTTTTCATTTTCTATTCCTCAAAAGATGTGGATTACTTTCTTTTCTTCGATATTCTTAAATTCTTTATTTTATTGTCGAACGTTTTGTCTGAGTCAGACTTTAATGAATTTGAGCATCGTCTCAAATCCCCCATTAACAGGTTTTAATTGAGCGCCGGCTAAAATCTTGAAACATTGAATACGATTTTAAGTGGAACCAACCATATTTGAGCCGCGGCTCAAATTCTTTAAATTCGGCCTCTGAGTTTATTTTTCTTCTCCAATTTAATATTTGTAAAGGAATTGAGTCTTTGACAAATACTCTATATCTTTGCAGCCCAATGTCATAGACTTAAATTTTAAAGTGTGAATTTTGTGAAATGAAAAGATCCCAAGTTTAAAATATCAAAAGTTTACACCATCAGTTTGAGATTGTGGCAAAGACTCAATTTATTTGGTTTGTTCAGGCTTTTCATTTTTTATTTATTTTTATTCATTTTCTATCCTCTGATCCAATTGAATATCTGTAAATTTGATGTGTTCAGGCTAAACCCCATGTTGGTTCTATCTCATCTGTGAAGCCCCTGGATGGGTTTAATTACTCTGGACAACAATTTAGTTCTTCGCCACCTTACTCTTCAGGAATAGTGATTAACAGTGGAATTTATATTTATATCTAGTACTAGCTTGAGAACCCAGCGTTTCCCAGGTTACTCGTAGTGTATCCCGCCGTTTACCCGCACTTAGTCTTAAATTACGATTTTAGCCATTTTCTCATATACATTTCGACCCACTAAACTTAAAATCTCAAAACCAAGTTAAGAACATTTCCGTGGGTCTCCCGAGTTCCCCAATCAAAATCAAATCGGTTATGGGGTTTCTGAGTTATGATCGGACAAACTAACAAACATAGATTACAACTTTATATATAGATGTATTTTATTTTACTTAACTACCTAATTGATCCCCCCCCCCCCCATCTTCAGTCATGTTAAAAAATACTATTATTGGGGGAGAGATGAAGGGAAATAAAAATAGGTAGAAATGCTTAGATGAAGTATCATCCCTCTTGAAGGGTAATTTTGGAAGATATTAATCCCTGAAAACAGTGCTAAGGATCCATTTAATTTTTATTAGGATCCGGATCCTGGATCTGCACTGGAAAAAAATAGATCCGGATCCGGATCCAGGTCATTAGCAATTATTTAAGATTTACTAATTTTTTAACAGAAGAAAAATTTTCGAATTATTATTTTTACTTTTTTCAATAATTTGTATGCAACTACTTGATGAACCATTCAGACATAATGACATTTTCGATAATCTCTCTTTTTTCCACAGTTCAGATTTAAGTTTTTAGAACAAAAGATTTTTTTGCAGTTTTTGGTTGATATTTTGCCCTTTGATCCGGATTCGTGGATCCGCATATTTTTGCGAATTTGGATCCAAGAAGCAAAAATGTTGCGGATCCAACGGATCCGGATCTTGAAAAGTTCTTTTTAGCCTTTTCTAAAAAATGGCAGGCTATATTTAACCATTCTCGAAAATTTCCATCGGGATTAATTTTTTTATTCTTCGTCAGATATTAAAGTTAAAGTTAAATCAATTCTAAAGAGTGATATTTGAAAATTAGTATTTTCGTTGAATGAAGAAATAAGATTGGAAAAACACTGAATATCATTTTATTTAAATCCAGGGTATGTACAGACACAGAGTACAGCTACACTCCCAAGTACAGTGTACAGTTCAGGATATATGCAAAGTGTACAGAGTACAATTCCAACCACGGTGTACGGTGGAGGTTATGTACAGAGTGTACAGGGGGTACAGCAGCATAACAGTCAGTACTATTCAGGAATTGTACAGTTCTACATTTTTTAAAGCACATTAATTCGTAGTATGCATCTATTTTGATCTATCTACCTATATGTCTATTTTTTATCTATCTACCGAACTTTCTATCTATCGTACTATATACCTAACTTTCCAACTATCTATCTGTACCTTTATATTAAGTATCTATCTATCTTCTATCCATCCATATATCTATCTATCTACCTTTTCTACCTTGACAGAATATCTGGTTGACTAGTTATCTATCCATCTGTCAATATATGAATCTAGTTTGAGAACTTCTCTTCCTGTCTTTCTGTCTTTTTGTCTGCCTTGTGCTTCATTTATCTTAATTCAAGAATATTTTTCTTCTCTCAAAATACATCACCGAACCCTTTACAGCTTGCAATGCAAACTATGGAATTATTAAGTACAAAGAATCATGTATAATCTACTTCATTGCATAATTAAATTAATTAATTTTATCATATTCACACAGAGAATATAGGACATGTAGTAATTTAGTTTTTGCCGCAAACTCTGATTTTCTAATTCATATATCTTTGCAACCCAATGTCGTAGAAAAGTTTGATCAAACAAGAGAAAGTACAACAAACATTGAAATATATTTACAAATAATTATTAGAATCTTGCCAATTTTCTACTCAGCCAAATTGTATTGATAGTAAGAAATTCCCTTGGTATTAATATTTTTAGGCATTTTGGGCCTGAAATGGAGTTCAAAGTGTACATTTCTTGTAAATATTCACACCAAGGATATATTGAATAGAAGGATGGGGCGATAGGGTTTCCGTACACTTTCCTGTGACGCTTTTGGACTTCTGAAGAACTAGTTTTTGCGTAACGACAATGTCAAAGGCAGCCGATCTAATATATACAAACATGAGTTAGTAAACTGTGACAGTAGTATTATCTTGTTAAAAAAGATTGAAAAGTTAAGGATTTTTGTTATATACGAAAAGGACCTTATTACAGAGACATTTTCAATCAAATTCAAGGTTATCCTCCCCCCCCCCCCCGTTATAAATGCGCCAGAGATCCTAGATGTCTGTTTATTATTTGTGTTATTGTTTACAATCTTTATTATTGTTGTTACGCAAAAACTAGTTCTTAAGCAGTCTAAAAACGTCACAGCTAAGTGTACGGAAACCCTATCGCCCCCTCCTTCTATTCAATATCTCATTGATTCACACCATAGTAGTTGTATGCAGTACATCAAAATGTTATAGAATGTTATTCTCTTGTTCTTACATCCCTCTTAAAATCAGTTTTATAATTTTATTATAGTTATTATTATTATTATTATCATTGTATGTACTAATGTATGCATCATACGGTGGTAGGCGATTATATCAATATAACGAGGACTATTTTCCATTTCAATTTTGATTTATGTCAAGCTTATAAACAACATGGATGCACAAAAACCTGGAAACAAAGAGACGCTGTCATTTAAAAAAGCTTCTCTTGTTTCACTTCACTTACTTACAATTAAAACTTAAATAAAAAGTCGTCTTCACTTTATTGATATAATCGCCTGCCATCTTAGAAGAATTTACAAATGTATGTTCGTACTTTTTAATTGCTTTGTTTTCTAATGTTCTCATGAAATATGTATGTATTTCTTAACTACTAAACTTGTCAAGATTATCGTTTAAGATTCTTATTTTGAACTGTATTGTTTACCAGGAGGATATTCCCAGAACACAGGCCAGGGGTACACCCAGTCCTCTAACCCAGGGGGGTATTCACAGGGGTATACACAGCCACAGTCACAGGGGTTCACCCAGGGGTATAGTCAGCAACCTAATCAACCCTTCTCCTACTCCTACCCCCCTAACTACAGTTTCCAGGGGTATCCTGGAGCTAAGAATTCTCCTGGTTCTCCTGGACCAGGGGTGTATCCAGCATCCTTCCAAGGAGGGTACTACATTGCTGCACCATCAGGTAAATATAATTATTAAAGGGACTGTACGCGTAATTTTTTATCTTTCTTATTGTTACTAAGAAAGAGATTTTTAAGGGACCGTTGGAGAGTCATTGTAATAACGTAAACAGGCCCTTTTCAGATCCGAGAACTTTTGATTAAAATGAAGCTTAGTTGATATTTCTACTCGGAACTTTTGAATTAGATAAATTAACATTATAATTGTCATTGACGGTCTTTTCGTTTTTACTTAAATATGAGTTTTAGTCGTTGATTGAAGGCAAATTAGGCTTAAGTGGTTTATTTAAAGACCTGTCAACTTTATCTTTTATGGGTAGATCAGTTTTTAATATTTTGCTCGTGTCTGCATTAGTTTAATAATGATCCAATACAGTTACCATTTAAATCTTTATTGCAATGTTGGCTTAAAGGATTAATGTCATTTTTCCTATACATCATTTGTCCTATACAATCATTTGTCCGACACATCATTTGTCTTACAATCATTTGTCCTACAGTTATTTGTCCTATAATCATTTGTCCCATAATCATTTGTCCTATAATCATTTGTCCTACAATCATTTGTCCTACACATCATTTGTCCTACACATCATTTGTCCTACACATCATTTGTCCTACACATCATTTGTCCTACACATCATTTGTCCTACAATCATTTGTCCTACAAATCATTTGTCCTACACATCATTTGGCTTACACATCATTTGTCCTACACATCATTTGTCCTACACATCATTAGTCGCCCAAAAATCATTTGTCCTACACATCATTGGTCCTTCAATCATTTGTCCTATAATAATTTGTCTGATACATCATCTGTCCTGAAGTTAGGGGGAAACATCATTTGTCCTACAATTTATGTTTAACTTTAAATGAAGTTTTCATCAAAATGGAAAGACACTTAAAATGATGTTTAATAACTTTGAAAGATTGATTTATCTTTTTTGTTTGTTTTGAAAAATTATTGTGAAAATTTACTTTGTTCATATCCTTACTTAAGACTTATGCAATATGCATTCAATTCTATTCTTTTCTATTCAAAGAGACTTTAATTTTATTGAAATAAAGATTTAAATTTTATTAAAATAAAGATTTTAATTTTATTCAAATAAAGATTTAAATTTTAATAAAATAAAGATTTAAATTTTATTTAAGTAAAGATTTGAATTTTATTAAAATAAAGATTTATTTTTTAAAAATAAAGATTTGAATTTTATTATAATAAAGATTTGAATTTTATTAAAATAAAGATTTAAATTTTATTAAAATAAAGATTTAAACTTTATCAAAATAAAGATTTAAATTTTATTAAAATAAAGATTTAAAACTGCAGTTTAAGCAAAAATACCATTTCTAGAACTTGGTTTCTAATGGGGGAATATCAAACTTTTCAAACTAAACTTCAGTAAAAGAAGAGAAATTATTTCACTTTTAAGTTTGTCAAGAATTTCTTAATTTATTTTATTGTCTATTACCTGTTGCGGGCAAAAGAAGTTACCTTAAAACTATTAGTTAAAAAATGGGATTGTTGATAATTAAATTCAAACGATGCTTGTTTTAAAGGTTCAATAATTTCTGAACGGAGAAATTGTCGATTTTTAAATCAATTTAGGTACGTTATTTTAGAAAATTGCAAACAGATTTTACACTGAGTTTTCCGGAAAGAGTTCTGGTCATTTAAGAGTTATTCCGTAACGTTCCGGAACTGCAGAACCTGTTCAGCGGTGAACACTGAACAGTGAACAGTTCCAGACAATCCGAGGGGTCATTGAGAAATATTGAGAAATATTAAGTTAAAAATAATTAGACGTTTTAATTGGATGATGTTTTAATTTTTACGTTTTTTAGGGTTTCCCGTTGTATCTTTAAGCAGTGGTGCCCAGGGGGGGAAAGAGGAATCTAAACCCGCCCAGCAGGCTGGGGCAGGGGGTACCTCAGGGTCCCTAAACACCCCTGGAGGTTTTATCTACGGGCCCTACACATATCCGGCCAGGGTCATAGGACCCATTATAGCATTAGGTAAGCATTTAAAATTTTAGATAATTTTGCGAGATCTGAATTTAGTTTGCTAATTTCTTGTTTGTAGAATTAAATTGAGGGAAAAAATCAAAAATTTATTTTAATTTTCATAATTCCTTTTACTAAATTAAATGATTCGATAATAAGTTTAAGGAGAAGGGGTGTTAAGCGCCTTGAATTCTTGATATAAAATAACTCCAATTCACGACTAATTACCAGTTAAAACTGCTGACTAAAAGTCTGAAATGAATAAGATCTTTATCAGACATGCAATGTCTGTCTGTCTGTTTCTACTTCTATTTGGTCTCTGTTTGTCTAGCGGAGAGTTCTAAAGCTTTTTATGTATAATAGGAAAACTTTTTTTACTTTTCTCACATCAAAGATATTTGTTAGACTTGGTCGGGTTAAACCAGATTTTGTAAAACTTTCAGAAAATGCTAATTCTAGAATCCCTCAATTTTTTTAGTTGACATCATTTTGATTTAAAAGTAAAAAAATTAACTAATACCTTTGCAGATATGGGAGTAAACAATAAACATGTCAGGAAGAAGTTAGGATTAGGAAGTCAACTCAGAGGAAAAAATATGTTGAGAAGTATTAGGGAGTCAATTAGGGGAATGAACTGAGAGGAAGGGATTAGGGAATCAATCAGGGAATGCATATATTTGAAAAAGGTTTAGGAATAAACTTAAAAGGTAGCAATTGTTAGGACAGGGTTAGGGAGTCAATTAAGAGAGTAAACATGTAAGGAATGAGTTAGGGAGTCAACTTAGGGAGAACACGTGTTGGTAAGTGGTTTTGTAGCCAACTCAGGGAGTTAATAATAAACCTGTTAGGAAGAGTTAACTCAGGGAGTAAACAATAAACCTATTAGGAAGTGTCAACTCAGGGAGTAAACAATAAACCTGTTAGGAAGAGTCAACTCAGGGAGTAAACAATAAACCTGTTAGGAAGAGTTAACTCAAAGAGAAGAATTTTTAGGAAGTCTAATGGGACAGTACATATGTGAGAAAGGGGTTAGGGAATCAAATGAGACAGTGCTTATGTGAGGAAAGAGTTATGGAGTCAATTTTGGGAATACATACGTGAAGAAGGGGTTTGGGAGTCAAATGAGACAATGTTTATGTGAGAAAGGGGTTATGGAGTCAATTATGGGAGTACAAATGATATGAAGGGGTTAGGGAATCAACTTAGGGAGTAACCATGTTAGGAAGGGGTTAGGAATAAAATCATGGAATAGAATTGCTAGAAATGGGTTAGAGAGTTAATGCAGAGAAACACATGTTAGGAAGAGGGCAGAAAGTCCAGTCAGAGAAAGAGTTAGGAAGTCATTTTTGGAAGTAAACCAGTTCTAAGGTAGATGCGTGACACGTGTAAAAGATAAAGTAATGCAGGAATATTGAAACCTTACCATAAAGGGAGAAAGAAAATAATTAGTTTTTCATAAATGAAACTTTTAACATCTAGAACCCCAAACTTAAACAAAAGTATTAAATATAATCCAATACTAGAACTTCCTGAAAGGGGCTAAATATAATATGCATGTTCCTTTAAATGATAACTAAAAAAAGTTGCAATTTACATTGAAAAAGCGCAACAGGGGTATTTTGTTGTTGTTGGGGTATTATTTTTTTGGAAGCTATCATTAGTTTGGACTCTTCCTTGAAAGAATACGTGTAATTTTCACCATTTTCCCCTGTTTATTGTACATTGTACATTGTACATTGTACATTGTACATTGTACATTGTACATTGTACATTGTACATTATAAATTGTACATTGTACATTGTACATTGTACATTGTACATTGTACATTGTACATTGTACATTGTACATTGTACATTGTACATTGTAATACATTGCACATTGTACATTTTACATTGTACATTGTACATTGTACATTTTACATTCTAAATGTGTAGTACTAAATTTTTTGATTTAAAATTGAAAAGTTGAATCAACTTTTTTATCTATATGTTCCATGTTTAAGTTTAAGGTGTAAATTTAAACCCCTAAATCTCTTGTTACACCACCCATTATGGTTCATAAATGCTTAAAGCCAATTTGTGTGAAGTTACAGGTGCTGTGAATACTAGTTTAAAGCATGCATAAACACAGGGTTTTAGACAGGGGGGTAGCAATCTTATAATTTGTTAGATATTTTTGATGGGTTTTTTGCATCGAAAAAATGTTTTTTAAATCTAAACCTTTTTCTAAGTTAAGAAAGATTGTTGCATACCTTTTCTACTAAACCATTGCGAAATAAACATAAATTACTCCTATTCTCTAGCCCTCCCCTCTCTACTATTATTAACACTTAGAAGCAGGCACATGCTAAATCATAACTAAATTCTAACAAGATTTTTATGACCAAACTAAAACCATAAATCTTAACACTTAAAGCAGGTGTGTATATTTTTCAAAAAAATGAAAAATTGGGCATCAGAATCAACGGTATCCTTTACAACCTCTCCGACAACTTAGATTTTTGAAAAATTTACTCAGTTTTCATTATGAAGAAATACACTAGTTTCTTCCTTGAAAATCTTTGTTGATGTTGATTTATAAATGTAGGATCAGTTTGTAATCGCGTTGGCAGCCCCTTTAACGTTAAAGATAGTTTTTAAGATTAAGGAAGGAAGTGGAGGGAAGGAGGGGGTTACATTGTACAAAGCTATTAAATTAATGTACGAAATATGATCGTTTAATGCATTGTCTAATTTGTAAATGCATTTCCCAAGTAAGCTGAGTTGGATGCACTTTATTGCATTTTCAACAATATGTTTCTATTTATTTATCTTCTGAAGTACAAAATACACATTTCTTCTTTTTATACCTTTACTAGGGGTATGTACAGATTTGTTCTTAAACTTTAAAGAGAAAATAAGACTTAAAGAGACTGTTAACGAAATTAAAGTGACTCTCCTCAAATTTATGAAGTGACATACGGTTCACAATGGTAGTTCTCATCAATTTTATTATTTTCAATTCATAGTTGTGGTTTTACTATGAAGTGACTTGTTGGTAAACTCAAGCATAGAAAAACGACAATATCTTCTTCCTTGTTATTCAGATAAAGGTCTGAAGGGTACTGTGGTCAAAATATGTCAATAAATATTGTTAACAGTCTTTTCAAGTTAAGGTTTTACATTTGGATGTTTTCTAAAATTGTAAATTTTTTCTTTCAAACATTTATTTGTGAAAAAGTTTATATTTGACTGAAAACGAACAAATTTATTTGTTTACAACTTCTTCAGTATTTTTTCGAAAATTGTAATGATTGTACAGATTTTTAAAAAAATGTACGGATTTTTAAAAAAAATGTACGGATTGGTTTAAAAAAATGTACGGATTGTACGGATTTAAAAAAAAAAAAATTGTACGGATTGTACGGATTGTTTTTCGAAAATTGTACGGATTGTACGGATTTCTTCTGAAAATGTACGGATTTTTGTACGGATGTGTTCAAAAAAGTTTTGGCCACCCTGAGTTTACCTAACTACCGACTTCAAGCATTACCTCTCGAAATTTACATTTTTTAGCTTTAGTTAAAGAGAAGTATTTGGCAAAATGCTAATAGATTATTACGTGAGAGCGTGCACACTGCACATTCTGGACCACGTTCACTGTTTGGTCAATAAAATAATGTTTTAAAGAAAATCTGTTTTAACCTTTATCTTTTTGGTGAAAACGTTCTATATTAACTTTATTTTGAAAAATCTTCCAAAAAAATATTTTAATCAATATTAACAATTTTTTGAAAAAAATCGTGCTTGTTTATTATCTATTTATTTTATGTGTAAAATTTTGTTCATCCTCCCTCCCTCCTCTTCAAACCTCTATAGCTACATGTATCATGTTGAACCATGTGTATTGTGTAATTGTTGCGTAATTGTTTATTACTAAACAGCACTAGGAATTACAGAGTAAACACACACTTTTTGTCTTCCTCATTAAGAACCACATACACACTACATAAAGAGGTTTAGCGAGGGGAAGGGGGGGGGGTTGATTCAAATCTTAAGAAATTTTAGAGAAAAATACTTACATTTTCATTAAAGGCACTTTTGTTAATGTTTTTTTTCCGTTAAGGGTTAAATAACTTAGATTTAAAAATCCGACCTGTTTTTGGACCCTAGGTTTTTTTTGGGACACCTCTTGTACCCAGTATCATGTACCCAGTATCATGTACCCAGTATCCTGTACCCAGTATCCAGTACCCTTATCATGTACCCACTTGTATTACGACTACAATGCCATCTATTATTTATGACGACACTGAACTGTCCAGCAATTATAGACTCCGTAATAGGTTTGAGAATAAATTCTTTTGCACTAGAACCGCGATATTGCATTGTTGATAGCTTTATGCAGATTTGGAGCAACTGTTAAGTTGTTATGTACAGTACAGGGTGTCCCAATAAGCATGGTAATTTAGAGATGACTTGAAAATTACATCAAAGTCCGTTAGAAAAGCATAGCACGTGTTATGAGCTTTTTAAAATGTTGTCTTCCTCTTTTGATGCTTTGAAATAGACACTTTTTTAATATCTCCATCAATTTTGTTACACCACATTTTGGGATTTCAAAGACAAGTTTAAACTGGGATACGCGAAATGATGCCACGTGATGAAAGGCTATTGAATTAAAAGTCGTGACTTAATGGTCATGTATATTGGGATACTCTGTATACCTGTATTGAGTGTTTGAATTTTTTAATTCATTTTTCATTTTAGGAATTTATCTTTTTTTAGTGTATTTATTTTCTTAATGTTTAAATACTCAAATTCAATTATTTACCGAAAAACTCGTTTCAGTGGTGATATCTTCAAATAAAACTTAATAGTTCAGAAAAAATTTCAATTTGACGAAAAAAACTTCACTATAAAAAGTTTTATTCCATACAATTTTAGAAAAAAGATATTTTGATCTTAGATTTTTCTATGAAAATAATACTTGTTTTTATTTATATTTTGTGGTATACAAATTTTGCATTTTTAGTTCAAAACAAGTTGGGTAAATTGCACTTTTCGCAGAGCATACTGAAAATTTGTTTAACTTGAAATTTGAACACAGCTCATTTAAACATACTTAGTTTTATAGTTCAAAAGTTGTATTCCATACAAAAGATAAAAAGTTATTTCGAACTTAATTTTTCATTTTTCTGGTAGATACTTACTTTTTTTATTTACATTTTGTGGGATAAAGGTATGCATTTTAGTTCAAAACAAGTTGGGAAAGTTGTACCTTTCTCAGAGCATACTGAAAATTAGCTTTACTTGAAATTTGAACACAGCTCATTTTTAAATACACTTTATGTCTCATTTAAATACACTTCATGTCTTATTTAAATACACTTTATGTCTCATTTAAATACACTTCATGTCTTATTTAAATACACTTTATGTCTCATTTAAATACACTTTATGTCTCATTTAAATACACTTTATGTCTCATTTAAATACACTTTATGTCTCATTTAAAATATATATACGACTGGGATTGTTTACATTTCTCCCAGAAATTGCTGTACAACTTCTTGAGTAAACAAAAGTTTCTGATCTATCTTTCTTGATCTGGTCCACGCAGTTATCCCATCAGCTTACTGGAGATAGAATAGGGATTTAAGATTATCTAATAAAGCTTAATAAATAATATTTTACAATGCCTGTTTGTTGTTTTCAGATATATTTATCAATAATTTAAAATTCACTAAATTAAAGTGAATGTTGTACTGATATAAAGTGACCCTTCATTAATAGCGGCTTGACCGCTTCATCATACTACTTCTGTTATTGGCTTTACTTCTCTCTAAAAATTAAAATTTTCAATTGTGGTACCAATGTAAATCGGGCTTGCAACTTTTTAATCGAGGAATCACTTCAAAATACGTTTACAGTCCCTTTAAATTTTTTTTTTTTTTTAGCTGCTGGTAGCATTCCTGTTCCTGTCGTATCTTCCGAGCAGCCTAAACTCCCTGAGCAGCAGAAACAGCTGCAAATAAACCACCAGCAGAGCTTCTCTTTAAACCAGAAGCAGCAGTCGACATCTGCTGGAATAAAACCGGTTCTCCGCCCGTCACAAGATGGCGCCAATAAACCCCAGGGAACAGCTGCCCCCATCATGGCGGCGTCAGCTGGTCTCCGTACTGACTCAACCGCGACTTTGTTGCGGACAGATTCTCCACAATTGACAGATTCTTCCATGTACAGATCAACAGCTTCACATATACGGAACAAGAGTACAGAAGCTGGGTACAGAATACCTGTACAAACAGACAGTACAGGGTACAGGCAAATTCTACCTAAAGATGGCGGGAAAGGAGCAGACACAGTACAGTACATGAACTCGGCTAGGCCATTACAGGTGCAGTACATATCATTATTATAACTATTATTATCAGTATCATAATAATTAATATGCGATTGCATAGTAATATTTTTGAAGGTAAAAATGTAGTTTAGGTTAAAATAATATAAACTAGACCGGAAAAATAATTAATGTCTATTTCTACAGACATTGTTACTGTATCCCACTTCATTATCGCGAGCACTCTCTTTAAGTCAAGCAACATATCAAAAAGTTCATTAATCTTTGAAACAAAGCATGAAAACAAATTGAATTGTGTTTTAAGTGCACAACACAATAGTTTTAAAGTGAGAGTATTTTTTTACATTTTGAGAGGAGTTCGTGTGACGGAAATTGCACAATAGTGAGTTTGCAAATTTTTGAATGTTGTGTCAGTACTGCATTTAATCTTATTTGCACGCAATCTGAGTAGATTAATCCAGTAAAGCATTTAAATACATTTTATATTACAATTTAACTATTATGTCACCTTTATGCGACATATTTCAATTTTAATGTTAAAGTTTAAGTCCTAATGTAATGTAAATAAAAGGAGCTAGTTTAAAAATTATTAAATTTTACATTTATATCACACTGATTTTATAATATTTTCTTTAAATTATCAACATGATTGTGAGTGACCCTTATTAAAAATACACTCATTATTGCATTTAGGGTACAAAGGTGTTTTTTTTTCTGGAATGAAAATGAAGATGCATAACGATAATTAAATCCACAAATTCTTTAACGTAAACTTTGCAGAACGGGACATATATTTTACTTTACTATCCCAATTGACAGTTATGTAACATAACATCCCGCAAATGTAGTCAATATGTTAATTTTATCTGATATTTTTTAATCTCAAAGGATGGCCATTCTAGGTAAAACTTCTAAGAGAATGTGAATTTTTATATTATTCCAAGCCTGGAGAATTAATGGTTAGAGTTAATGTTGCTAAGCCCACAATGTTTCTATCTGCCAGACTTTCCTATGTTTTTTAGTAAAGGATAAACAAGGTTTGATAGACTTAGCCGTAAAACTACCCAGAAGAAATTCTGCGCCTATGCATTTTTCGAAATGTGTAATCTATAATCATCAATTTTGAAAATCATGGGTTGATAATTATTCTCTCAAAGCAGTCAAAGAAATTAAAAGTTGGAGTTGGGGGGATATTTAAAAGTAGCGAAGTCTCTCCCCCCCCCCCCCCCCCCCCCCCCCGCCCCTAATAAAATTAATTACGGACAATTTACGTCTCTTTATTTTTCCCACCATTAGCACAGGGGAAATATTTTAATTAAAATCATCCAAGCCTCTTCACCCGTTGTATAAAGGATATCGCCTTCATTTTAAGGGTTGTTTTTGCTTGATTGGTCAAAATAAATGATTTTCAGGAAATTTAATGATTTTTAAAATCTATTTCCATTGAATATCCGGCTCTCTTACAAAAGGTAGAATTATTTTTAAAAACTTTTCTTTTTAAAATTGGAAATTTGGACCTTTTGAACCTTCAACCTTTTGACTGATCTACCTTTTGTCACTCTACCTTTTGATTGTTCTACCTTTTGTTGATTTTCCTTATAATTGTCCTACCTTTGACATTCTACCTTTTGTAATTTTACTTTTCGTAAGAGCCAAATAGCCCCTTCATTTTTGAAAATATATACCCCTGCATACATTAGCATTTATCAGTTTTACAGCCCCTTTATAGATCTGGTAAACAGGATAATAAATACAAGGTTAGAAAATATTTCCTGTATTTATTACTTATCAATATTATCAATCCTATTGTAAACTAGAGAGGCCTTGCACTCTTAATAAATGTCAAATTCATCTTTAAAAAATTGCTGGAACCCCGTAGCCAAGTTCCACTTGATTGTGAAAATCTTTCAGTCATATTTTGGCTAGTTTTGAAAAAAAAGATTTTTTTGTGATATCATTTCAGTATGCCATGCTACAAGTTAGAACTAGCTGAGAGGATCTTTTTTCTAAACTCTGTTTTGAATTGTTTACTCATGAGTTACATCTGACTAATCAAAAAACATAATTTCTGGTACTTTCTTGGTGTGTGGGGGTGGGTATGTCTTGCAAGCCCCCATATCTAATATCAAGAGCTTTCCCTTCCAATTTTTCCAAATTTTCTTTTTTCTTCTTGCTTCTTATTTCTTGTTTCTACCCTTTGAGGCCTATCCAAATAGTTCTTGTGACATCGAGTTGTGGAGCAGGTAGGAGAGATAAGGAGGTTTGGAGGAGGAAGGGTATAAGGGATTGCTCCCTGTTTTCCTTCTTGTTAAAGTCTATTCTGACTTAAGTGGAATTTAAGGAAACCAATAACTGCACTCCTTATGAAAGATGTGGAGCAGGATGCCTTAAAGCCCCATCAGGTGGAATCTTCCACAGTAGACCAGTCCACACAGCTAGCAAAGTAAAAAACTGGTATCGTTGTGCATGGCTTGTATACCCATCATGGGTTATACTCCTTTCAGCTGAGGCAAGCTGAAGATAGAGTACTTGTTGTATTTACCCCCTATGTTTCACTCACTACTCCCCTGTAGGATACATTATGACTCATGAGCAACTCTACGCAGTGCTCTTCCGAACTGTGAAGCCTGGAGCTGCTTTGGGAGATCCTTTTCCTAGCACAGGCAGGAAGCAACTGCTGGGTATCGGATTGATGACAACGATCTCTTCGAATTTTCAACGTTGAAAAAAACACATTACATTTTCAAATTTTGAAGAAAAAAATTTCAAATTTTCTTTTAAAAAATTGAATTTTAAAAAGAAAAAAAAATCGAACTTTTTATTAACCTATATTTTCCCTCCCCCCCCCCCCCCCNATTTTGTCCGGCCGTTAGGCCTATGGCTAACATTCAAATAAATATATATATATATATATATGAGCGAAGAGCCTTATAATATAGATTGTTAAGGTCGATTATTATACCTATTAGTAATTGCCCGGGCTTTATTAAGAATCGTAACATCCTTTTTATTTAATTCTGTTTTTTAACAATATAAAAGAACTGGTTTCAAACACTTTTTTTGCCCTTTTTTCTGGTGAACAATTTTTTAAGTCTTATATCTTTTTTTGAAAAAAAAAATGATTTAGTTTTTTAAAAAGTTTTTTTTCAGAGTTAAAATTATTTCAACTTTTAAACGACTTAAACCTTTAGATGTAATTTATTCTGACTTCAAAGTAACGCCCAATGAATTGCTGAAAAATAAAATAAAAATCAACTTGAATAAGAAAATTTTCTAATCTCAGTTGAAATCTTGGATTTCCCGGAATTGAATTTTTAAACTAAAACCTAAACAGAACTTGTAACTTAAGTTAAGGTTCAGTTTGAGAGATTAACCACATAACCTTATTTAAATATATTGACATCCATACAAGGACTGTAGATATTATTTCAAGTGACCCTTCATTTCCGCTTCACACCGGTAGGCTTTGTTTGTTTTACTTAGTATTAGTATCTAGTATAACATTGAAGGTAGAAATCCACCAAGTTACATGAGAGAAAACCCCCAATTGAAAATAATGGATTTTCAGACCTGGCTTATAATTGGGAAAGTTTAAATTTTTTCCCATTTGTTGAATCTATAATCTCTAATTTAAAGAATGTATGGTTAGAGAAAGAGGCTCGGTTCGTACATTCAAAAATTTTTGTTTCCGTTAATTACATTATTGACTTTTAAAGGGAGTGTTGACATAATTTTATGGGCCCCCTATTTTTAGAATGACGTGTCCGATTACCAATGGTTACCTTATAAGCTTTACCTGATTAAGACTAGAAGAGATATCCATGTGTTTCTCTTTGAAAATTGGTTATTTTAGACTTTTTTAAACTAAAGTGTCTTGCGGATGTCTGCTCAAGAAACAATGGAATAAATTGTCAGAATTAAATACATCATAAATTGTCAGAATTAAATACTAGAAAAACGACAATTTGATTAACTTTTTTAATCTGATAAAGATCAGTAGGGTACCGTTGTGAATCTGGCATGAAATTACAATGCTAGTTCCTTTAAATTTTCAATTTAATGATAGAAATATTAAATGATAACAAGTTTTTTATCAGAATTTTCTAAAATTATCTTCAACTTCTATTAGTTTTGATTTATTAAAATTGGTCGAATGCATAGAGCTTCAAGAAATTGTTTTTGTTGAGATCAAATTACGTTTGATTACTGATATATTGATGATTAGAATAAAAATGCATTTTTTGATTGGTTTCTTGGAAAACAGAGGCAGTCTGCTCACTGTATGTTTAGGTTTAGGTTCAGGTTTACTTAAAGGGACTGTACGCGTAGTTTTAAGTGTCTCCATGCAAAGATGTCAATGCCCGATTCACAACGCCACCCTTGAAACCTTTATCTGATCAATAATGTGGACGATATGTCGTTTTTCTACGTTTATAAGTGTGTGATTCTGTAGTAGAAAACGCAAGTTACTTGTATGCAGAACCTACAATTGAAAAATTAATAACATTGATATATAATTTATACTTTTTAGACAAAGCTTAAGGGTACCGTTAGATTAATTTTTGGTTCTAGTTTTCAATGAATGAATATGTATCAACATCAAATATGTTAAAGAATTATAATAAATAATAGAAATATATTTATTTTTGGCATTTCTAGAATATTCTTTAGTATTCGGTGGATCTGCTGCCATAAATGTGTCAAAACGTCTCAAGTATGTAATATTATCAATGCTTCATTTCCCCAAAGGGGAATTGGAATATACAGTTCCAGTTTGGGAATCCAGCTAGGCCTGGATAAAAAGTTTTCAATAACAGATGTCAACTTAGATTCAAGCTAAAATTTGAGGCAAATCGGTCAAGGTGTTAAAAAGTTCTGATATGGAATACAATTAAGCAAACAGACTTTGCAGAGATTTCTACTCTATAGTAAATATACTGTTAAGAGTACCGCTAGAACCAGAATGAAACTAATAGAAATGGGAACGTGTAAAGAAACAGTGTCCTTCTATTTCAAGAGCGGAATCTGATACACAACAGTCCTTTTTAACTTTCTATACGAGCAACAATAAGAAAGATACATTGTGGTTTTCTATCATAAAATGATAACACGTGTTAAATTCTGCATATTTTCTCGGAAGCATGAATGCGCAAGTCATTTAAAGTCATTTAAAGGGTATCGTTTAGAATCGGACATCCGGCTGCTCTACATATGAGGCTTACTTTTAGGACAACATTTTTAAGGACTTCAACTGAGTTTTTTGCTTTTTTCTGTTCTTATTCTTATCCCCCTAAACTAATATATTTCTATTTACTAACATGTTTACATCATGGAAATAAGATTATTTTGAATTGAGGAAGAAAATTAATAATTTCAGATTAAAATTTTTTTTTAAATCAATGTAAACATTGTTTGCAGAGAAAAATTGAAATTAAAAAAAATATAAATAAGTAATCTAAGCTGAACATAATCCACTTAATTACTCTGATTTTATTCTCTTTAGTTTCCACCAAAAATCTTTTATTTTCTTCCTCAATTGTTCATTCATTTCATGTTTTATGCAGTTAATATATTTACATACTAGGCTTCTAAGACGCTTCGCGCCCATCTTTGATTTTAACTTTAAAATGTTGCTCTATCCGCGGTAATTTCTCTTAAAGTATCAAAAAAAAATATATTTTGGCTGATTTGTCAATTTTTTTTCGGGGATTTAAAAAATCGAAATTCGAATAAATCTTTCCTGGGGTCATTTGTGGTCATTCAAACAATTTGGGCCCAATCGGGTTTAGCGGTTTTCACGTTTATTGGTTACAAACTAAACAATCGGACAAGGAAATATATCTTATAGAAGTACTTTTTAGAAATAAGAATATCATGCACATATTCACTAAATAAAAAGTAAAATCTCGTATATTGAGAAAAAGAATTTTCCCCTCATTTTTTATCAATATTAAAAAGTTATGTTATTATTGTTTGTTTTAGGTTGTTGGTCCCATAACGGGCAAATCTCCTGTTGTTGGCCAGGGTCTAGTGGCTGCTGTTCTTCCCCAACAGCAACAACAACATTTCCATCAGAACTTACAACAACAGTCATTCCAACAACAGTTGATACAACGTCAATATCAGACATACATTCAGTCACCAGTATCATCCATCCAATCTTACACACACTCATCCCAACCCTCATCCAACCTTTATTCATCCAACTCATCATATTCATCATCTTCATCCTCATCCACTCATCCGTCCCTCTCCATATCATCATCTTGTAGCTCGTCAACTATCCAATCTGTCTCCAGGTGTAAACCCAACCTAACCCAGAGTAAACCATCCTCCCTCCGCGACGTACGAAAGAAAAAGACTGAACATGAACCTGTGATAGACATTGATGCATCTGAAGACACCAATGTCCAAGCTGAAATTGTGATTGATACTAAGAAAGATAACGATCGAGGAAAGGAAACCACTGAAAGATTAAAAGGATCTAAGAATGAAGCTACTAAACCTGGAAGAGTGGAGCTGGAAGATAAACTAAAGATCTCTGACAAGAATACAAAGGAGACTGAAAATCTATCCAAAATGTTACTTAAACCTGAAAGACAAAGAATACTCTCCCTTAACAATGTTTCTGTTACAACCAAGGAAAATATTTCTTCTTTTATTTTTTATTTATATAATTATAAAAAAAGATAATTTCATATGACCTTCCAAATGTAGACTGATTTGTCCGATTTACAATGGTACATTTTATACCTATATACGAGCAGGGAGGACATAGATATATCCTTATTATATTGAGTGCCTTAGCGACTTGAGTATATAGTGAACACATTCTAATTCACTTGCGCATTCCAGGCATTAAATTTTCAGCTACAAAAGTGAGAATATCTTCTTCGTCTTTGCTCAGACAAGGTTTAAAAGTTACTATTGTAAATCTGACATGTCTGACTATTAATAGAGGGTGAATTAGGCCACAATCCTATTTTAGTGAAATAAATGTTCTAATATTTAGCCAAGGAAGAAGACCCACTTATTGCTATAAAGTTTTATCGATACAGTTTCTTAAGGTTTCATTGATATTTCGACTGTGCAAATTAAATCATTGCACATTTTTCAATGCGAAAAGAAATTTGTCATTTTTTCTCAATTGGTAATTAAACTAGAAGTTTTGATTGATTAATCTCTTTTGGTAGAATCCCCGAAAATATGAATTATAAATGTAAATTTAATTTTACTATTCTAATGATAAAGTTGCTGGAAATAAAAAATAATTTATAGTATTTAAGAGATTTTTTTCAGAAATAACATATTTTTATTTACTTTGAGAAGTTTTTAATCTTAGTTTTACGAAGAAGAACATTTTTATTAGGTTAAAGATACAGATAAGTTGAGTTCTAGACTAAGCCAACCTGGAAACAACTACACTCATAGAGATATAAACTGTTCCGCATCAATTCTACCTTCAGCAGTATCATCAACCCATATCCGGGTACCATCTTCACCTAGACCTTCTTTACCAACTGCTAAACCGTCTCTATCTACTTCAAGATCTTCTCTATCGCCTTTAAGACCTTCTCTAGCATCTGAAGGTATAATGGGATTGAGAAGGTTTGGAGGAGATGGTTTAAGAATACCGCGACCTATATCCAGACAGTATGATGAAGCAAGAAGGAAGAATATGGTGGAGATATCCACTGTTTCACCTCATATAGCTGATGCTCCAAACTCAGGTAACAACGATTTTTAAAGGGACTGGAGACGTAATTTAAAGTGATCCACTATTTATAAAGTAGTGAGTCTGATTAAATACGGTATGTTGAGTAACCAATCCATGTTTTAAACTTTGGGAATTGATTATTTTCAAATGCGGTTTCTCTATAAAAAATATCATTTGGATGTCTGCTATAGAAACAATTAAAGAAATTGTCATAATTCTACACTTTTTGAATGACTATTTCTTTATCAATATTGATTAGATAAAGGTTTAAAGGCACTATTTAAAATCTGGCATGCCCCTTCTGAAACGGAGGTTCACTTTGTTATTGACTAGTTACAGTTTTCTTTGAAGTCTGTTAAACGTAGAGATTTATTTCAAAGAGGTTGCGTGATTATTCCTATTTAGAAACTTTACATTTCCAATAAGAGATTTCCCTTAATTTAAGTTAAAGATTCCGGGGGAAAAACACTGGCGTACTGCCATACTATTATTATACATTTTAATTTTGAGTTTGAGGAGAAATTACCATCTTTGGCGTACTATCGGAGACCCCCCCCCTGTCATCTCATCGGTGACCCTTAGATTTTCATCAGAGACCCGAAGCTTTCATTTGAGACCTCAGATTTTTATTAGAGACCCCTAGATTTTAATCGGAGATTCCAAGCTTTTTATCGGAGATCCCAAGCTTTTTATCGGAGATCCCAAGCTTTTTATCGTAGATTCCAAGCTTTTTATCGGAGATCCCAAGATTTTCATAAAACCCTTGAGGTCTTCAACCAACGTTTTCGGGTATTTGATCAAAAGTTTTGGGTCTCTGATGAAATTATGTGGCTCCGGGGTCTCCTTTAGGACTCCAATGATTATAATTTCTTGGTAAGTAGGCAGACTCAAAATCTAAATATCCAACAATTGAATAAATTGTATTTCGTTTATTCACTTATAAAAAGGGGTAATTTTAATTGATCCTTGATTTAAAGAAGGTGATAAACAATTTACAAAAGTACAAAAATTGTTCATTGTCCTTTAACATAAATATTGAGAAGAAAGAAGAAAGATAAGAGAAAAAATATTTATATTTTTTATAATTTTTTATAAAAGAATGTTTGATTTGTTGAACAATAGATATATTTGTGAATATACAATATATATTTATATTTGTATGAAAGCTAGCTCTATATATATAAATGTATAGATCTAATTAATGTCGGTCTTTGATAAATCATTCTTTATAGTTGTGTAATATATGATATATAAACTGTACACTGGGACTCTTAGAAAACATTTATTTTCTCTCAGAACAATTTTGTCTTTTTGTTGTTGTCAAATTTGGGTTTTCTTTATAAATACTTTGCTTGTCGGTCCGTCTGTTTGTTTCATTAAAAAAAAATATGTGAAAACGGCTGAACCGATCTGGCCAAATCGTTTGCTCCAATATACAGAACCCAAGGGAAGGTTTATGGGTGGAGGAAGTTAAACAAGTCGGCAATTATTAGTTTTGAAAAGCACCCATTTGAACAGAAAAATTTTGAGTTTACAGTTATACAGAAATATCTTAATTTTAAATAAAACTGTTAAATAAATTGTTAGGAAATTAGCACTTTAAATTAATTTTTTTAAATTATTTTATTTCCAGGATTTGGTCACCCTGGTTTACCCAACGGACTGTTCCGCCTGGCCTCCTCTATGACCCCGACCTGTAAGAGCCCAACTAAAGCTACTGCTAAGGAACCTAAAGCTAGCCTGGTGAAGAGACCTCTGCTCGTGCAGGAGCAAGGAGACAACTCGTTGAAATCTCCAGAAAGGGTTGCCAGGAATCTAAACTATGGAGATCCTCCAGTACTCTCCCCACAGGTAATCAATCAATCAAATTATATCAATCAATTTAAAGAATTCAAATAAATGATAAAGTAATTATAATCAAGTAATCAATCAATTAATAAGCTAATTTATTAATCAAGCAGTAATTAATTGAGTGCCCCATTTAGTTTATTTATTACTTTATTAGTCATTGAATAAGTTCATTAATATTTGATCAATTCAGTAATAAATCAATTTATCAGTTTAATAATCAATGAAAAATTGAATCAAGCTAAATCATCAAATTATATAATTTTCTTAACAGTTGAATATTGAGAAAGTATCAATTGTTTACGGCATAAATAAGTTATAAACCAATCAATTAAGCAATTAACAAATCAAACAAATTATTCAACGAAATGAACTACTATTTAAATGCAGAAGAAATCAATCAAACCAGTATAGTTTATTAGTTACTTAATTATTTATCAAATAATTAATCAAATAGTTGATCAATTCTGTAATAAATCAATTTATCAGTTCAATAATCAATTAAAAACTGAGTCATCAGATTATATATAATTTTCATAACAATTAACGAAATATCAATATGTTTTCCAATGTACAATCAGCATAAAAATAATTATTTTCAAACAGAAAATATTCAAATCATTATTATTCAAGCATAAGTTTTCTATGAGATTTCAACGATTGGATCAAATCTAGGTAATGATGGAAACGAGTTTTTTTTTAAAGTGACAGTTAACAGCTTAAACAGATATTTCATGAATCTTAAGATTAGAAAATAAGGTTAAAACTTCAGCAAATTGGTTTTCGTAATTGATGGAGAATGGGAGCATTTGTTAGATAGATCACAGACAATGTCTGAGGCACGCTTGGACTGAAAGATGGAGCCCTAAATATATTCAGAAGAAATTCTGTGTCTACATTCTTTGGAATGTTTAATCTATCCAAAGAAAATGAATTGTAGGTGACCCTGAAGAGTACCCCAGGAAGTAGAATCTCCTCATCTATGGCCCGCACAGCAGCTGATGCGGTCAAATCACCTGACCTCAAATTAGCCAAATTATCTGGACCCAAGCCGGTTAGATCACCTGACAACAAGAGAAGGTTGGAGGAGAAATCAACCCCACACCGTCCTAAACTTTTTCCTTCAAACCTTTCCAACCAGAAGTCAAAACAACGGGTAAGCTTTAATATAAGATTTATAAAAAAAAAATGTATAATAAAAGGGAGTTGTGATTATAAACTTTAATCATTTCAAACTTAAAGAAATTAACTTGACCTTCAATTAACGAGTAATATACAAAAAAAATCAGATTAATTAAAAGGAAAAATCGCAAATAATTCACATTTGAAAGCTCACCTTTAATAAGAGAATTGACAAGTAAAGGAATTGAGCCTTTGCCGCTAACGCTGGTTTTTCAAACCCTATATCTTTACACCCCAACTTCAAACGATAAACTCTAAAAGATTGAGTAATATAAGTTTGAAATATCAAAGGTTTAATTTATCAGGTTGTCAAGATATAGGGATTCGAACATTTGAGTTTGTGGCAAAGACTCAAATCCTTCGAAGATTTACCAGGAATTCGTGTTTTTTATTTTCTTCAATACTTAAACCAGAGTTTTGGCGAGAATTTTATTTTTCAAATTTCTACCTTCGTTTGGTAAGGGTAACAGAAATAAAAAAACTATGCAAGAAAATTATATAACTTTTAAACAAAACAAAAGCAACTATGAAACACTTCTGACTTCAAAAAGAGAATGAAATAGAAAATTTAACAATTTGTGAAGTAAATTGATTGATTGATTTGGCCAGGTTGGCATGAGTATGGGTCTCTGTGGAGAAATGGAGAGAAGTCGTCTTCAACTGAAACCTGCCACCTCGCCTAACCTCGTCTTGGAACGATACCCTATAGTTCAGGTAGCAACTAAATGGGGCAGATATTTCTTTTAAGGATTCCTACATTGTCATTGTCATTGTCATTGTCATTGTCATTGTCATTAATGTTATTGTTAATATTTTAAGATGTGGGTAAAAGATCAGTATCAAGAGAGAAGGTTGAGAAGAAGAAAAGAGAATCAGGAATGGAAATATACAAAATACAACAAAAATAAATTAAAAATGTCTGCCATCATTTTCTTTCAAAAGAAATACGGTCTTCTGTTTCTTTAATGAGAGCAAGTATTAGATATATAACCTCTTGTAGGAGGTAAACGTGGTTCAGAAGTAGGAGTTGGAGCACCCCTCATCCCCTGGAAGGATAGGAGCAAGGAGCCTCCTGTCAATTCAGGAGGCTGGCGCTGGAAGGGGGAAGGAGTTGTGGCCAAAGTATATCTCCATGTAAGTAATTGCTAGATGTCTGTTAATTAGATTTGATTGCAGTATAAGGATGTCCCGATATTAGGAGAAAATATTTTTAGAAAAAAAGGTTTAAATCCACAAAAGTTTCTTAACCAATTCACTAAACTAGGTTTCTGATACTGTGTTTAATGAGAATACCTTGTCTAAAGTGTTTGGCTTTGAGCCGTTACTTTAAGAGAAGTTCGCTGAACAAACCCCCTTAGTTTACATTTTGGTGTAAATGCATTTACAATAAAAGAAAATTTTCTGAACAATTGTTTCTTACCCAATTTATGAAACTGGGTTTCTGATACTGGGTTTAATAAGGATACCCTGTCTTAAGTTGCAGGCTCCGATCCTAGGAAACTAATAAACCATTGTTTACTTGTATTACAACACACCAGTGTAGGGAAACCAATAAACAAATCTATTCCTTAATGCATACCTCAACCTTGCCCCCCCCCTCAAAAAAATTTAAGAATATAATTCATACTTGATTAGGCAAAGCTTTTAAGGGTCACTTGAAATTATTTAATAGGATTAAAATAATGCCAAGTTTTACACTCTCTAATTTCTATTTTATTAATTTTGGTCCCTTAATTTAAACTTTTTGTAACTGGAAGTAACCAATTGAGTGTAGTATAATCGTTATTATACTCGTATGTTAATATTTTTTTTATGTATGGAATAAATCTTCAGTTGTTTAATTCTAAGCTTAGAATATCAATTTTTGACAATTTGCCTAAAAAGTTACATTTTGCGCAAATTGCGCAAAAAAAATTGCGCAAAACTGAAATTTCGTTTCATGCGCAACTTTCGCAACAAATATTTCCAGTTTTGCGCAAATTGCGCAAAAAAAATTGCGCAAAACCGCGCAAAACTCATTGCGCTTCATTCGCAAAAATAGCGCAAAAGTTCGCAAAAAAAATTGCGCGAAAATAGCGCAAATTTTGCGCAAAAGATTTAGCCATTTCGTGGAAACCCTATCCCTCATTTTTCCTTTCAATTATTCAATCCAAATCATCCTTCGTTCCAATATTCCATCATTCTTTTCGTTATATACTTCCTCCCTCATTTTTCCTTTCAATTATTCAATCCAAATCATCCTTCCTTCCAATATTCATGGCTACCCATGATATAAAAGAATCTAAGTTTGTCAAATATCAAAGGTTTACACCATGAGGTGGAAAAGATATATGTATTGGAAAATCAGAGTTTGTTACAATTGTTTGTCAGTTCCTTTGACATTTCTGAAACTGTACGTTGGTCTAAATTTAACAATCTTTAATTGTCTTTTTCTATTTTTTTATTTAAAATAAATCTATTGCAAAAAAAAATCTAAAAGAGCAAACGCGAAAAACTTATAAGATATTCTTCAAATTTTGTTAATTAAAATTTGTCATTCAACACATTTGACGAATTGTGCTAATACGATAAATTTGGCTCCGGCGTGGTGCTCCAACAAACTGTTTTAGATGAAAATTTGACATTTCTGAGAGTGTAGTTGGTTGTTCATTCCTGTGATATATACTTCCTCCCTCATTTTTCCTTTCAATTATTTCTTTTATTCACAGGGGTTAAATTTTGAAAAAAATTGGATCCAATTCACATAATTTGATGCTTTTTACCCCAAAAATACATTTATTTTCCCCTAAAATTATAATTTCCTTAATTTAGCGAATAAACCTTTACAAATGGACCTAACATCAGGGGGGGGATTAATTTACTTGAAAATATAGACCCCTGATAATTCAATCTTGCATATCTTTCAATTTCAATTTTATTTTATTTTTAAAATCACTCCCATATGCTATTTCCATTTTTAATCCCTTCCACCCCTACTTTACATACCCCCCTTTACCCCCCTCCCCCCTGATCTTGTTGAGTGTTTGTGGGGGGGGGGATGAGAAACTGGTATCTAGTATATATATATGAATATTTAATATGTACTGCAGTATAAACATGTATCAGTCTTTAAATTGAATACAACCCACCGGGCACCCTTAACTCAGCTAAACCAAGATAAACAAGGGGAAAGATCTCATGATAAGCTCAAAATTAACCATAATGCGCAAAAATGTCGCTTTTTAGAACCAGCCAAGAATGGTTAAAATTAAGCTCAGTAGAAATTTATTAAAACCCGTGAAAAGAATGCGCTAAGAAGTAGCCAGCCATAAATTCTACAAGAAACAGCAAAGAACGCTCCAAGAAACAGTGCAGAATGCGTCAGAAACAGAAATGATGCTTCAAGAAACAGCAAGGAAGGCTCTTAGAAACACCAAAGTTCCAAGAAATCGCAAAGAATACGCAATTAAACAGCCAAAAATGCTCCACAAAACAGCAAAGAAGTCTCCAAGAAACAGGAGAGATTGCTTCAAAAAACAGCAAAGAAGGCTCCGAGCAGAGCTAAGAATGCGTCAAGAAACAGCAAAGAATGTTCCATGAAACAGCAAAGAATGCTCCTTGAAGCAGCAAAGAAGGCTCCAAAAAACAGTAAAGAATGCTCCAAGAAACAGCAAATAATGCTCCATGAAACAGCAAAGAAGGCTCAAAAAAAACGCAAAGAATGCTCCAAGAAACAGCAAAAAATGCTCCAAGAAACAGCTAAGACTGCGTCAAATAACAGCCATGATGAATTGTTTAAGAACAGGAAAATGTGTATTGATACTTCTTGCGGGGAAACTGTTGTGCTAATCTGAAAACTTTCAAAAGTTCAGAAACTGTTGGAAATGTTTATTTTTAGAAATTTTAAAATTTAAACAAGAATTTCTAAGATAAAATTTTTTTTATGATTTTTAAATGTAACTGTCAAAAATGTAAATCGTCAAAATAAGAAAACATTTTAAGCAGAAAATGTTAAATTCCATTGAAACATTAAAACTTTTCTGAATAAAATATATTACTTTGTATAAAGTTATTTTGTGTTCAATAATGTAGAATATATAAACCATTAAACCTAATATTTTATACTCTTTACATACAATATACACATCATAACTTATACATATATTTATATACATCTTTATATTCTGGGTTTTATACAATCTAATCGTCATAACTTTCAATTATATTTATGCATAATTTTAAGCTACATGTACATTTTTTTTTAGAGCTAACATGAGTTTTAACCGATCTTTCTTTTTTTAAATTACAAATATGATACTTCTGGAATATGGCATCTCAAAGTTTTGATAAACTGATAAATAATGGGAAAATAAAAATAATGAAAATTTCTTATTCCGTTGACATGTACCCCCCCCCCTTCCCGTGGTAATGACAGCTTTATTGAACATATAATGTATTATCTCTTAGTCTACGAAAAAGGAGTTGGTTGGTTGGGGGGTAAATAGCCATTATCATATAAATATAGATCAAATTATTCAAAAGATTTGTTTATCTTTCATAATTTTTTCAGCAATGCTTAATAATAAGCTTGAACTTACTCGAAATAATAAATATTTTTGTTTTATATTATGAAATTTTATAATAATTTTACAGTTAACTGATAATTTGTTGTAAACCTAGAGACTCAATTTATTCCAGACTTTGGCAAACTAATTATGTTTGATGCCTAGCATTAGAAATGATTTTGTTGAAGAAATCATCTCAAAAAAGTTTTGTTTACCAGGGGCGTATATTTTCTTGGAAATCATTTTTTGTTTCCCAGCTTTACCTTTTCAATATCATTCCCCAAGGTGTAAGGCATGTTTTCGCGTTAATTTAGGGTTTATTATTATTATTGATTTTTGTTGTTAAAAGTTTCAAAAAAGGTTGCAAACTTGCCTTTTGATGTCCCATTTTATTTTTGGAGCATCTAGAATCAATTCTCCAGCTGGAGTTGGGGATTCTTAAAAATACTAAAAGTTAAAAACTTAGTAAAATATATTTTTGATTAACTTTTTTATTAAAAATATAAGATGTATATGACCCATTTGCTGCAAATCTGGACATGACATTTTCTTTTTCATGTCATTTAGAATTTTTTTAATATTTGTCTCTTCTTTCTTCAAGGATGAAATATTGGGATGAAAATAAAGATTTATTTCGCTCAATTTTCTTCCGTTCAAAACCAATGTATTACGAGCTAAGCCTCTTTAAGCCGAGTCTGAATCCCACCGAACAAATTGTGATTTCTGTAAAAAATTGTCCACTAAGCATAACTTTTGACAATATTCAATAACATTTTGTAAATACTACAAAGTTTTTTTCATAGAGTTCACCAATCCTTTTTATTTTTGTTTGGAAATGTTTATAGGAGACTTTAAACTAAAATATTTCTAATATGTATCCGAATAAATTTGTTTTTCTCATACGTGTGCGTACATTTTTCGGAAACAAAATAACTAGATGCTACGACGTCTTAAAGTTGTACTAGTGATGTCGCACTGTTTTATTTTCTCTTAAACTTTTCTCTAGTTAACAGTTAGTTTACGAGTTAAAAGTCAGGGAAGAAGTTTCGTTAAAGAATGAATCTCAAGAAGAAAATTCTAAATTCAATTTGAATTCAACGAACTGACAACAAAGATTGATATCAAGTTATGCACTGAAAATAACATGAAAATCTGTTTATATGTTCTTCAATTTTATATTCTAGAATAGTCTAGAATTTTTATTTCTTTTAACTTTTATGGGTTTTGAAAAAAAATATCACCGAAGGAATTGAATCTTTGCCTCAAACTCAAATTTGGAAGCTGATTAGTAAACCTTAGATATTTCAAACTTTGATCTAACAGAACTCAGTTAGAAATACCTAACAGAACTCATAGTTAGAAATACCTAACAGAAATAGTTAGAAATACCTAACAGTGGGTTGCAAATGCAAATATGGATTTAGACAATCAGAGTTTGTAGAAATCCCTTGTCGTAACAAATCAACAAATGTATAATAAAACTTAAAAATTTTATATTTTCTTTCTTTTTCATCTCATTACAGTTTTTATAAAAAAAATTAGAATTCTCAACGTGAATCTTCAGTATCAGATAATAGATTATAATCCGTTGAAATTGGAGATTTTCTCTTATATTTGAAATTAAAAGATTTATAGATAAAAAAATAGTTTAATAAAAATAAGAATTAATTATTTTTGTTAGGTTTCTCAATTCGTTGATAGGATTTTTTTAAAGAAACAAATGTTTCCTCTCGAAATGTGTTAGTTAAAAAAGATAATTTTTAATGTAAAAGCTTAGTTCCCCCCCCCCCCACTCTTTCCTTTAAAAAAATGTATACCTATACTGTGTAGATATATACAGACATGTTAAACAATGTGACAGATACAAATCCTTTCTGTCTTTATCAGTTTTTATTGTTTGGATGAAATTGTACAAAATCTTGACAAAAGAATATCATTGAGTACAACTAGTGTACTTTATTTAATTGTAATGTATTTCATTGGATTGTACTTGATGTTTTTTTTCTTAACCGCACTGTACTGTAATTTTATGTGCTAGCCCGAGACAGAGTCTCGTAATGAAACCCAGTTTCATGAATGAGGTCAGGTAGTTTTGTAGATAACAATATTTGTGTTCAGAAATACCATTTTGTGTGGTTTCTTTACATCCTCTTTTTGTTTTCTGATTTCTGAAATTAAAATCTACGCAAATGTATTAACTCCAAAAGGAAACTCGTGAGTTTCGGTCAACGATACGTTCTTTAATTTCCGGCTCTGCACTGTATTGTACTGTACTTAAGTGTTCTGTACAATATGGCAGTGTACTGTACAGTACTTTACTGTACAGTACTGCTATAAACTAATATTTACCTAATCTAGAATGAAGATTATCCTGTGGACCGTATCACCTACCAGTGTATGCGGCATATGTATTCTTGTACTGTACTGCTATAAACTAATATTTACCTAATCTAGAATGAAGATTATCCCATGGACCGGATCACCTACCAGTGTATGCGGCATATGTAATTTTGTACTGTACTGCTATAAACTAATATTAACCTAATCTAGAATGAAGATTGTCCTGTGGACCGTATCACCTACCAGTGTATGTGGCATATGTAATCTTGTACTGTACTGCTATAAACTAATATTAACCTAATCTTGAATGAAGATTATCCTGTGGACCGTATCACCTACCAGTGTATGCGGCATATGTAATCTTGTACTGTACTGCTATAAACTAATATTTACCTAATCTAGAATGAAGATTATCCTGTGGACCGTATCACCTACCAGTGTATGCGGCATATGTATTCCTGTACTGTACTGCTATAAATTAATATTAACCTAATCTAGAATGAAGATTATCCTGTGGACTGTATCACCTACCAGTGTATGCGGCATATGTAATCTTGTACTGTACTGCTATAAACTAATATTAACCTAATCTAGAATGAAGATTATCTGGTAGACCGAATCACCTACCAGTGTATGCGGCATATGTAATCTTGTACTGTACTGTTATAAATTAATATTAATCTAATCTAGAATGAAGATTATCCTGTGGACCGTATCACCTACCAGTGTATGCGGCATATGTAATCTTGTACTGTACTGATGTATTCCTGTACTGTACTGCTATAAATTAATATTAATCTAATCTAGAATGAAGATTATCCTGTGGACCGTATCACCTACCAGTGTATGCGGCATGATGAAGGAGATGAAGAAGTAAAGATTAAGGACTGTATTCTTTTAGCTTCAGGAAACAGGTGAATATATCTTTATCATTCATACAGTCAGAACCAGCAAACTCTGAATTCTGGAATAGAAGGACGTCTTTTAAATTCAAATTCATTCATTATGTCATCTATCTATTCTTCCTTTCATTTACCTTTATCGATTCATCCTTGCAATAATCCTTTCAATCATCCTTTCATTAGTCCTTACACCTATTCAACCTTTCACTTATACATCCTATTACCCTTAATTCATTCTGTCTTTCATCTGCTGCACAAGACTAAGATTATTTCTTTGAATGATAAATCAAACTTTTGCACTTATTTTCGGGGTATTAGGCGTTAAGAAATTGAAATTCACCTACCAGTGTTTTCAATGTTGAAAAAGCAAAAATAAATTTACTAAACTACATAGTACATTCGGGAGGAAGGGGTTTTAAAGAAGATATATCATTATCAGTATATGTGAGATTGATTGGCCGATTAAATTGGGATTGATTTAAAAAGTGTCGATTCGATTGATTGATTAAATGATTATTCAGGAAAAAAGATGTTCCATTTATTGCAAAGGTGACAGCTCTATGGGAGAATCCTGAAGATGGTAAGCAATCATAAAATCTAATTTTCTTTTTTAGTCGAATCAAAATGTAACAAGATATTTTGTTTATTCAACATATTCTTATATATTATTAATATTTTATTTATCGAAAGAGAAAATGGGGGGAGGGGGTGGCGGTGGTTAAGGGTCTGTGCACGTGACTGTCTTTTTATAGCGTGGCATTTTTTCCAATAATCAATTGTACTCTATGACTTTGTACAACCCCAGCAGGAATAACTATACTATCATCCAAATCAAGGATCAGATAATAGTGTCAAGAGCACTAATAGATGATTACTGGAAATTACAACGTCATTTTACTCTTAGGTGAAATGATGATGAGTATTCTATGGTTTTATCGACCTGAACACACGGATATTGGCAGACAACCTGAAGATCTTCCTATAGAAGTATTTGCTAGCAAACACAGGTATTATAACACAGATATAGGCAGACAACCTGAAGATCTATTCATAGCAGTATTTGCTAGCAAACACAGGTATTATAACACAGATATAGGCAGACAACCTGAAGATCTATTCATTTCATTTTGATACTGGGGATTATGGATTCGCCTTGAAAAAATTGACCTGGATCCAGATACAGGTTTTGTGCCTTTTTCTAGATTTTCCAGAAAGTATTATAAATGTGGATATTGTGGTGTTGGTTTTTGAAATGCCGCGCAAAATTATCAAACATTCCCTAAATTATTTTTAAGAATTATGGACAATATTTAATTGCGAGTGGCGACTTCCAAAACTTGTTTGCAAAATTTATTTCTAAATAACAAATAACAAATAATGATTTATATTCTTGTAGGGACCACACATCAGTCGCCTGCATAGAGGATAAATGTTTTGTCATGACGTTCAATGAATATTGCAGGTATTAATTTTTTATTCATCTAATCTTCTCATCATCTAATCTTCTCATCATATAATCATCTAATCATCTCATCAACCCATCATCTCATCATTTCCTTATTTCATCATTTGTTCCTGTGTTCATTTGTTCTATGTTCATTTGTTCATTTGTTAATTTGTTCCTTTGGTCATTTGTTCATTTGTTCATTTGTTCATTTGTTCCTGTGTTTATTTGTTCATTTGTTCATTTGTTCTTTTGTCCATTTGTTCATTTATTATTTTTAAAAGTTGTAAAGATACTTTTTATTTTGAGGACTTATTCGTTACTCTATTGGTAAACATATTTTTGCTCTAACTAAGTAATTATACGATGTATAAACATATTACTAATGTTAAATCAATCCTAATATTTTATTCACAGCTGCCTGCATTGAAACATAGCCATGCATGGAAACTACACTTTCTGTAAAAAAGTCAACCAACATAGAACTTTAAATCAAGCTTAAAACATTTCCATGGTTCTATCGAGTTCCTCAATCTAAATTTGAGGCAAATCGGTTTCGGTTAATGAGTTAAGGTCGGACTGAGTGTCTCTTTAAAATACTTGTTAGTGTTAATAAATTTTTTTTTTAGATATAGCAAGTTCTGTCGGATGGTTGAAGAGGGTGTATCTCCCTCCTGGAATATAGTTCCTGAGCTAGGGGGCGGGGAGAATTAACTTTTTTCATTTTCATTGTCATTGTCATTATCAATATCAATATCATTATCATTATCATTATCATTATCATTATCATTATCATTATCATTATCATTATCATTATCATTATCATTATCATTATTATTATAGGTGTAAGCGAATGCTGAAGAATCCTATTTAAGTGCAACTTGTAGTTATGTACTGCTTTTTATGTACTCACTCTATTCAATGGAAACTGTACCTCTACTGTACTGTACCTCAAGTGTACTGTAAACGTAAAAAAACAAAATATTTATTTTCCAGTGATAAACTTGAAAAAAATCAGATGAAAATTATGCGTTTAGTTATTTTAGTGTTTTTAATGTTATTTTCAGTTGATGTATTAAATCAATTGTTATGTTTTATACTTAAATGTGATAAGCTTATTTGTCATTTAATGTTATCTACACTTTTACTCGGATTCCATGAGTTGCAATGATATTGTTGTAAAAAAAAATATTCAAAAATATTGTTTTGGGGTGAATTTTAATCAGTTTTATTTTTATAATCGGTTGTTAATCAAAGTTAGAAAAAATGTGAATTTCTTGTTTAGCAAATCTGAAAATTGAACGCAATTTATAAAATTGTTTTAGGCTTAACCTAGCACTGTGCTTTATCAAAGACTGAAAGTGTGCTGACTATAATTATATATTGATGGTGATAAAACCAGTTCTTTGTTTATAAATAAACAATAAAGACTGTTAATCTGTTTTTTAATCGTTATAATCAGCTGAGATGTTATTTTGTCCTAGTTTTGATGCTATGATTAAAAATCTTAAAAATTATTTCAAACATTAACCTTTTAAAATCTGGGATTTTAGTTCTTGAAATTAACTTAATGTTAAAAGAACTAGAAACATAATTTCAAGTGACCCCTCTTCTATATTCACTGTAATAGAGAAAAAACGATTGTTTTGTATACATTTTAAGCTAACAAGATATCTAAATCTGTTTTAAAGTAACTCGACTTAAATAATGTTCATGGAAATATCGGAATATTGGAGCAATCGAGTCGCAGATAGTATGAGGAGATAACTCGAAATTGTTCATTAAAAATTAGGATTTATTTGGTTTTATATATCGGTATATTTCTTCCGAAATGTAAATCCACGAAAAACATGAAAATTTAATACATTTCTTTACAACAGATCTTTTTTAAATTTTGTCACTGAGTAAGTAATTTAAACGATTTCCTCGAAACGATGTGGATTTTTATTTAGAAAATTTGAAAATTCATGATTTAAGACCAAGCGTGGCGAAACGATGGGAGTAACTATGAGTGATCAGGGCAACACGCCGGGCATTTCAGCTAGTTATAATAAATTTGGTACACCCTAGACTAACCAGAGCCGGCGATTTAAAAAATTCAAGAAAATACGACTCGGGTCTAAGCTGTTGTTGAGCCTTATTTACGGCTCGGGCTTGCAAATTTAAGTTGCATCTATTTTTCAACAGAATTTAGTTCATAAAACCGGTTTAATGTTGTATTTGGCGGATTTTCATAGTTGGAATTGGTGCATTCCGAGTTTTGATGAGAATAAGACCCAACATTGAGCCTTATTCTTCAGTAAAACCAACCAAGGTCGGTTTTATTTTCATTGGGCCTAACTCCTTAAGTCGAGCCTAAGATCTCGCAGCTGTCAATCACGTGACACAAGCTGTCGTCAGAGTTGGGTCTAAGATTGGGTCTTAAAGCTGGGTTTAAGGAATTAAGACTCGAGCCGAAGCTTTTAAATCGCGGGCTCAGGGCGAGATGCGTTCGATTTTTTTCTACTTAAAGGGTGTGTTCGCGAAAAATGAAACATTCATTCTTGTTTCCGAGGATTTTTCCTAATGAAGACGATATTTTTCCAGGAATTTTCGAAAATCCACCACCAGCAGTGAAAACAAGTGGTAAGCTAAATAATATTTTTTTAAAAAAAAATATTATGAAATATCAACTTTATACGAATGCGTTGAAAAAAATCGATGATTATAGGTTGTAATAGGTAGGTTGTTTGGAATTAAATTGATTTGTTTTTCAAGTCGTATGTTGCAACTTTCTGAATTTGTGTGGACGCTACGTTCTTCGCGCGGTATGAGTCGTGTTTACCAAAGTTTTCCTTATAAATGCAACAGATAGAAGTAGATAAGTAACGAAAACCATCAATAAATTTTCGCCGTAAGCCTAAACCCCCTTTAATTTTTCGCGAACACTCCCTTTAAATTCAACAACCTTTAAATCTACAGAGTTGTCTTTTAATACTTTTTCTTTGACAGCGCATATGCCCCTATGAAGAAGTATAAAAGAGAAAATGCAATGTCAAATTTATCTCTAATATGTCAAATTGTAAAATACCTTTCTGGAATAGGGGCAAACTGTTAAATCCGCGATTTCCAATTAAAGTATTAGTAAATTTTAAAACACATCTTATTTGTTTTCAATAAATTCAAAATAGATATGTACGAATATAAACAACTTTTGAAAGGTGTCCTGTATCATGATTTTAGTCGGTCAAAAAACTGAAAGCAAAATATTGCCACCAATTTTGAAATATATCGTTTAAATAATAAAATTTCTTTTTAAACGCAATTTTGCACGAAAAGTTTCCAAAGGATGTTTTTGTGTTTTTATGGCGTTATTTAAGCGTACTTTATTTGTAAACATGAAAAAGCTTATGTATAGTTTTTGAACTAAAAAACCCCTCCTTTCCGCTTCCTCCCTTTAAATTGTTTCACAAAAGTAAAAAAGTAGAATATCTATTACAAATCTTTATGCCATGTTCTGCTCTAGGCAAAAATGCAAATAGCAACAAAATGATATTTTCAAACTGTCGACTAAGGACTGCAAAGTGATAACGCTTATATAAATCTAAACAATCATATTCTGTAGGGAAAAAAGGTATGACTGTTCAAATGCATTTATTAAATTACTAAACTTTTGTTTTGAACAAAATTATATATTTATAGATATTTACAATCTGAGACTAAGATATCTTTAATTGCGCAAACATGAATTTTCATTTCTTCCTGCATGTAGTTTTCTTTTGAATGTTTGACCGTTAGCTGGCAAATATAGCATTAATGTTGCCGTAGGATGGAAGACGACGGTGAGTTTTGTGAAACGGTTTGGATGTCGTCTTTTCTGAAGACGACATTTGGTCCAGTCTTGTATGTGGAGATTCTTCACGGATTTCAGTCACAGGTTCGATTAAACTTAAGTCTTTTTCGTCACATATTTCCGGAATGGATTGCAACCAGAACTGTTTGATGAATTTCTTCAAATACTTCTCATTAAGTATTTTCAACTGATTATCCTCAGATCCCATTCTAACTGAAAATAAAAATAAATCATTTATGGGACACCCTGTATGTAATAAAGAAGAATAATTTGTGCAGGCTAATATTATCCCTCAGTGCTCCCTAAAATATAATGGAAGTCAAAATTAAATCAGAAATACTTAATAATTAATTAATTAATTAATTTCACTTTGATTCAGAGACCTCTAAATATGTATAAACTGACTTAAAAGACAATCTTTTTTAAATTAGATTTTATATTAGACCCGGAATTAGAAACGCGATGCCTAGTTGCCTTGACACTTTTCTACTCATTTTAACCCTTAGATAGACATTGGTAGGCGATTATATCAATACAATGAATTATGAAGACGACTTTTTAAGTTTTGATTGTTAACAAGCTTTTTTAGCATTTACAAGTTTATAAGTAATCAAAGAAAAGCTTTTTAACTGACAGCTTCGATACTTCTATGATTGTGTATATATGCTGTTTAAAATCTCGATATACATAAATATTTAAATGGGAAGTCGTCTTCATTGTATTGATATAATCGCCTATCACTGTAAATAAATTTGTAAGACAAAATCTAAATTTTTTTTATTTACATATTGCAAAAAGAAGTCATTTTAATTGTTATTATCAGTGAGGCTCACATTGGTCAAATATAAACATATTTTCCACAAATAATGATTCCGATATCTTAAATTTAATACGAAATGATGGCAGGCTATGACATGTGTGTATTACACTGCTGATTAGTTCACATTTATGTAAAGGGGATTCCCCAAGCCACATACTTTGTTAAATAAGAGCTGGGAGATAAGAAAAAAAGAGAAAATTTTAAATATAGGAATTTTGAGTTTTAAATTTATTAAATTTTTCTACGCCAAAAGGGGAAAAAAAAACAATTTTTACACAATTGAAAAAAATCAGCTATTGAAAACTTATGCATGTACAATTATGTCACTTTTTTCTTTGTCAAATTATCTAGTTTATTATATAATTTTCCTCAATTCAATATCAAAATTCAGCAATTGAGCTAGAACTAAACCTTTATGCAAGGTACCTTACATTCATGGATCATATGTTTGTTTTAATCATTGCAAAAGTAGCTAGTTAATTAATAAAACTATATTTTGGGCGGAAACCGAAAATCAAGACTATCAGTTTTCAGATCGGAAAATTTAAAGAGTTTAATAGTCGTCTTTAAAGAATCATCCTTTTGGGATACAATGATAACCAGAAAACTCTGAAAAAGGAAGACGACCTTCAGAATCAAGTTACAACTTTTAAAAGTCCAATGATTTCAATTGTGCAATTGCAGATTGCAATTGTGTAATGTAAACAGACCCATTTCAATAAATAAGTGTCTAGTAAAAGTATTTGCTATAATGTCGTCTTCCCTTTCCATATTTTCTGGCTATCACTACTTAGTTTAAAATTATACCTGAAATTTTTTTGTGTCTTTTTTGACTCGTTCTAATTGCACGTTATTGCTGCACACTCTATAAAAATCCGTTTGGCTCTTAAAGCTCTTGCATGAAACTAATTGTATAATAATGCTCTAAGAGCAAAAGAGTAGATAACTCTAAGAGTATATATTTATCAAGAGCAAAGTGCAATGAGTACTGTGCAGGGTAAGGCTATATCTGTGGAACTGATCAAAATTAGATAAATGTCTTATCCGTAAGAATTAGAATCATATACCCAAAGTAGGAGTTTTGAGCGTCGAATTTGCGCTTAAACTCAGGATTTACAGATCTCTAAAAAGTTTAATATGTCTCAAATGAATCCGAAAGAAATTTTCTGACACATGTGAATAATTTTACTTAAGTTTTCTATTTTTACTGTTAACCTTTGAAATCAAAAATGTCATGCAAAAAATATTTGTAAATTCAGAATTATATTATACCAGTCTCCACGGCCGGAAATATCGGAATATGTCGGCCATGTCTGCAGGTTATCCGGCCGGAAATTCCGAATATTTATAATGGTTCATTTTGTTTCCCATCACGTTTCGTGTTATCAATTCTTAAAGAAAATAAAGTGTTTCAGGAAAAAAAAGATTAAAACAATATTTATAATCAATTTGCTTTTGTAATATAAAATCAAAATATCTATATTTGGCACATTATTATTACGTATAACATTTAGATAGTTGATTTTATAACAGGGCATTTGATAAATATAAACCTAGTTGACTATTAAACCAATAGAAAATATACATGCACTCTCCGTTACATTACAGCTGTAGGAACAAAATAAATTATTATGAAGAAAGAAAAATTTACAAATTTCTTGGTTTTTCGATTCACATTTACAGGGTGACCCACACAGAATAAGATTTTAGTGAGGATTTAAAACTTTATGAACTTTATGTATCCTTGGTAGTTTCCTGAATTTAACCTAAAAGTATCACTATTTGAAATCTGCAATGTCGTCTTTAAATTATAACTCTTTGTGGGGACCCCTGCATATAAAGGCAAACTGAACAGATAGATGAGTAGATAGTCAAACAGATATATAGACAAATAGAAAGATAGCCGAAATAATAGATAGCCAAAAAAATAGACAAGTAGATAAATAGAAAAGTAGACAGATAGAAAAAAAGAAAGATAGACAAGATATACAAATATGTAGAAAGGCAAATATATATGATCGACAAATAGATAGATAGACAAATAGAAAGATGGACAAATAGATAGATAGACAAATAGATAGATAGATAACTGGATAGAAAGGTCTACGAGAGTTAATCTAGAAAATCTAATTAATTATTTAAGAATCTGTCTAATTTTATAATTTAACCATCTGACATATAAGCCCCATCCCGGCCAATACCCCAATACCTGTCCCTTTACCACATCCCAATTCCCCCCTCCCTCCCCCCTCTATCCCAATTCCCGGTGGGTATAGGTGAGGTTAGGGGGAGGGGGAAATTTCGTGATCTCATCTCGTCTGAATTTCCAATAATAATAATATTGTCCTTAATTTGAATACTTGCACACTAGTTCCAACCAGATCTCCTGGTTTGACCCAAATTCTTCAAATTTCACATCTCCAGAGGCAAGTACAGGGTTACCCACAAAGGTTGAGACTTCAGAGACGATTGTACGGAATTTATATACTCAATTTCTTGCAACTCACTCCTTTACGTCGAGTTCATTAGCGCCTGATCCAATCAGGGTTCAGTCATGTGTTTGTTGTCTATTCTGAACCAATAGAAATAGTATGGCGGTAACATCTATCTTTCTATCTATCTCATTATCCAATCAGAGATATGAATCCTTCAATTGGCGCTATCAGTAAATGGAAATATTTACTTCTATATTCTGAAACTGTTAACTGTAAACTTGTTTTCTTTGAAAAATTATTAGATAAGCCATTCTAAGGCAGAATATAAAATTTAACCAAGGGATCGTCATGTTTTTAGAGTTTCAGGTAGTCTTTACAGTCTTATCCTTTAAGTTAACCCTGTATATGCACTGTAATTTATGGATGGGGAGGTATGGTGGTAGTCAAATAAGTAATTGGTTTTACAAATATATATTTTAATTGGTTCTATTTAATCAAAGTGAACTAATCTAATCTTAGAATTGTTTTGTTTTCAAAATCAAAGTGAAAACTTCTATTTAATCCGATAATCAACGTTTGACAAATCTAAGGTTTACACTATCATGGGTTGCAATAAGCTGATCAGAAAATTCATTGCTCTTCAGTCTACCATTTCTCTTTGTAAATCTTGTTTCGCTGATTTGTCTGTTCAAATTGTGCATTTTCAAAATGAGAACGGTCTGCATTATTTTCTGGGGAAAGTTTTTCATCTTTAAAGGGAGTGAACGGCAATGTATTATAGTTAAACTGAGAGTGTAGTATTGTGAAACATTTTTTAGAAATCATTTGAGACCCATATAACGTTTCCATGCTATGTTTAATTACCTTGTTTGAGTGCAAAGTCGACGTTCAAAATCATCCAATGGGGTACGTTTTGAGAATTGTTTTTATTAAATAATTAACTAACGACGTCGAAAAATGTATCAAAAATTTTACAGTAAACTAATTAGATGTTTAGGAAAATATTTATCAATAGAAATTCATCATTAAATCAATGCTAATATCATTTATTTCTTTTTTTTATTATATTTATTTTCTTATTTTTTACGAATTTGTTCGCATATTTCTACAAATTTGTCAAATTACATAAACAAATAACTGAATAAGATTACTTAATTCGATGATAAAAGTTAATTTTCCCAACCTGTTCCTAAACAACTAATTAGTCTCCTGTAGAATTTTTTTTTACATTTTTTGTTGTCGTTATTTATTAATTTTTAAAAACCTATTCTTAAAACGTATCCACCTAAATTTATAATTTTCAACGTCGACCTTGTGCTCAAACTCAGTAGTTATACATAATAGAAACGATTTATATGTCTCAAATGATTTCTAAAAAATAATTTCCACAATACTACATTTTCAGTTTAACCACCATACATTGCCGGCCAATCCCTTTAACTATCTAAAACCAAAAAAAATGTCCCCGATTAATTGGTTTAACCATTGGACACAAACAAACAAACAAACAGACAAACAAACAAACAAACAAACAAACAAACAACAATATTCTGACACATGTGAATAATTTTACTTAAGTTTTCTATTTTTACTGTTAACCTTTGAAATCAAAAATGTCATGCAAAAAATGGATAAATTATTGATAATGTATATTTCATAGTTCTAGCGATTTACATATTAAAAATACAATATTTTATATATTCTATATATATTCAATATAATTATCATGAATTTGAATATTTATGGGATTGCTCACAAAATAAAAAATGGAGTTTAAAAAAGTAAAATGGTTGTTCATCGAGGTTCAAAATAAAACTTGAATGGATGAATTTATAAAAAGATGACGGGGATATAGGGAGGTCAAAGAGGTCATTGAGGCCAAAAGATCTAGGAGGTCAAGAGGTAAAGGTGGTTAAGGGGTCAAGGAGGTTAAATTGAAAAGTCAGGAGTTTAGAATGTTTATGAGATTTGGAATTTGTTAGGTAATGGTTATGAAGATGAGATGGACAGGAGGTCAAGAGGTCATATCTTGTGAGTCAAGAGGACAGAAGGATAGATGGCCAGGATGACAGAGGACGTCAGTAGATCAGTTCAGTTGATCTGAAGGTCAGAGGTTATAGGAACTCATAAGGTCAATAGGTCAGAAGATCATATGAGGTAAGGTGGCAGAAGATGAGGTGTACGGAAAACTTATGAAAGTAGTTCGAAAAATAAAAGATATGCTTCGTTTGATATTACACTCCCGCTAGAACTGGAAGACACCCTGCAAAAAAATGTTTTTTGAATATTTTTTTATACTTGAAACCTTGCAATCAAAAAGTAAATTTAGAACAATCGACTTTTGAACAACTCATTGAGAAACAATACCTCAATATATGTTATTCTTCAAAATCTGAAAATTTTCTTGCAAGAAATTATCATAGAAATACACTTGCCCTTTTAACATGGCAAGTCTACTATTTATTTGATGTAAAATTATATATGTCGTCTTTGTTATTTTACCTGGAATCATTGAAATAATGCCATTGACTGGTTTTAGGATTTCTAGCGTAGGCTGTATAGTGACCACTGTAAAGGGTTCCTAAAATCATAATATATAAAAATAAAGATGGGCACAAATATATAATATAAGAAAACATGATTTTTTTTCTTTGTAAAAAAGTGTTAACCATTTCCAAGAATGAGGTAAAGGAACTTCTGAATAAATTAGAGTGAAATGATGGTTTATAAATAAAAAATAGTGAATGGAATAATGAATGATAAATAAATACAAACAAATTAATAAATGAATAATGAATATAAGAATAAATAAACAAATGAACAAATAAACAAATGAATAAATGAAAAAATGAAGAAATGAAGAAATGTAGAAATGAATAAATGAATAAATGAATAAATGAATAAATGAATAAATGAATAAATGAATAAATGAATAAATGAATAAATGAAGAAATGAAGAAATGAAGAAATGAAGAAATGAAACAATGAATAAATGAATGAATAAATGAATGATTGAATAAATGAATATATGAATAAATAAATGTACCTGAATGGTTAGAGACTGCATAGCATGAATAAGTAGATCTACCAGGACAATCACTAAAGAAAAAGAAAACATTGTTAAAAATATGAAATTTTTAAACAAAAAAAACCAGAACATCTAAACTGGTTTCTCAATGTTTTGTTTATTTAAAATTCAAGTCTGAAAATAAAATACACTTCAAATGAACTATGATCATATTCATATCAAAGCATACTTAAGGACTTGAAAAAAAAATCTAACAAAACTAATAAATATTAAATCATTAACTACCAAACAAAAAGAATCAACAATTTAACAGGAATTTTATTGAAATTTTGACCGTGAAAGAACTTTCCAAGATTAAATGAAATTTTGATGTAAAAATCTGATTTTAATTCAATAAATTCAAAATGTACAAATGAAAAAACCACAAATTTAAAATTCAACTAATGTAATCGTTGCAAACAATATTACAGGCTTTTATGTAATTATATTGGACCAGCTCCCGTTTTTAAGTTTACTATACTTGCTATTAAAACATGAGTGGCTACTTTGGTGGTTAAATTAAAATTGGTTGGTTGGTTGATTAGTATGATTAATTGATTGATTAATTGATTAAATGATTGATTGATTAATTGATTAAATTAATGATTAGTTGATTGATTGATTGATTAATTGATTAATGGATTACTTGATTTATTGATTGATTAATTGATTAAACTCTTTACCTGAACTTGGAAACGTCGAATGATGTTAAAGGGAAAGTTACAGAATTACTTAATTTAGATCTGTACCTGAACAATTATAATATGAGTGTCCACAAATTTTTTTAGCCCAATCGATCCAGCCGTTTGGCCGGCTATAGGCATAATATATGTATATATATATATATAAATGTCTTGTTTTATTATATAATAATAATCTTACTTTTCTGTAGGAGAGAACCGTTTAAGATGAACCACTAGAACTTTAGGAAGTTTATATAAAGAATAGAATTTAGTGCATCTTCTTCTTGTTTTACACCGACCACAGGTCTAAACATACATTATTTTATTAATAGAATTAAATCTATTTATCTATCTATTATTTTTTGATAAAGCCTCTAGGAAAGTATTTTATAGATATTTTTATTTTACTTTGAATATGATTTTTTATTTCTTTTTTATTTGTGATAACCAATTTAAGCTGGAATGAATTATACCTCCGCACATTTGATTAATCATAACATAACAGTTAAAATGTTAAAATGTTCGGAGATCGGAGCGTGGATACGTTTTCAGAATTAGTTTTTTTTTAAATTATGAAATAACGACAACGAAAAATAAAGTAAAAATTATACAGTAATCTAATTAGATGGTTCGGAACATACTTCTCAAAATAAATCAATGCTAAAATCGATTATTTTGTTTTCATTATTAAATTGAATTCCTTATTTTCTTTGAATTCATTCGCAGATTTCTTAAATTCTTCAAATGTTGTCTTTTCAATAATAATTCTAGAAAATCTGCAGAAAATCTTTGTGAATAATGAGATACCAGAATAATGAGAAATTAGAAACTAATAATTGAACAAGATTACTTATTTTTTTATGATAAGATTAATTTTTAATTTCTCAACATGTTCCTTTACAATGACGTCTGTAGTTTATTGTACAACTTTTTTACACTTTATGTCGTCGTTATTTAATAATTTATGAAAACTAATTCTGAAAACGTATCCACCCCCAAAGTAGGAGTTTTGAGCGTCGAATTTGCGCTTAAACTCAGGATTTACAGATCTCTAAAAAGTTTAATATGTCTCAAATGAATCCGAAAGAAGTTTTCCACAACACTGCATACTCAGTTCAACTACCTTACATAGCCGGTCACTCCCTTTAAAACTGTTTTGATTACTAGTAATTAAAATTATCCTTTTGTCCATGCTATTATAAAATCTTTCATCCATGTCTTTTTAATTTACATTTTACATCTTTTTAACGTATCTACCTACAAAGTAGAAGTTTTGAACGTCGAATTCGCGCTCAGGATTTTCAGATCTTTAAAAAATTTAATATGTCTCAAATGAATTCGAAAGAAGTTTTCTATAACACTGCATACTCAGTTCAACTACCATACATAGCCGGTCACTCCCTTTAAGAACAAACAACAAAAGTAGAATATGCAGATAACGGGAAAATAATAATTATTTTTTCAGAGATTAATATATTTGTTTTTACCGGCATTTCATCTCCATCCATCACTTCTTCTTTAGTGAAGTTCTCCAAGCATTCATGCAAACTTATTTCACCAGATCTTAACAACAACAAATCGTTAAAAATTTAAAAAGAGAATTATTTTTTTATCATTTGAATGGAACCCAAAAAAACTGTGCGTTTAAAGACGTCATTTTGTATATTTGATATTTTTAAAAAAGTGAAGATACAATCTCAAGAACTGACGAGGATCAACCCAGACCGAAATATATTTTCAATAAATGTGGAACTAACATCTACTTTTTTACTCTACAGAGGTTTGGTCCATCACCATCACCGAGTTTTTAAATGTTTTAACACCTTGAATTTCGACTTAGTACGCAAAATGGGTTTTTGTTTTTTAAGATTGGATTTGAATTCATAACTTTAGTCAAGCAGTCGTCTTTTTATTCTACAGTTTTATGGGTACCCCTGTAAAATCAAGCCACCTGGAAGGTATAGGTAGAGAAATCAAGCTACCTGGAAGGTATAGGTAGAGAAATCAAGCTACCTGGAAGGTATAGGTAGAGAAATCAAGCTACCTGGAAGGTATAGGTAGAGAAAGGTCCCAAAAAGGTTCAAAGGTCACACTTTCGTAATCACATGAACTGCAGCGGAGCGTGGACTGAAAATAAAAGAGAATTAGAATTAAAGGGACTGAACACGATACTTTCAGTAAATTTCTATGTAAAAACTGACATGTGCGATTCACAACGATACCAACAAAAGCTTTGTTAGATCAAGAATTTTTGAGATGTTCGAATTTTTTATCCTGAAAAATGATTATTTTCAATTTTTATATACCAATTAACTGTCCGACAACTATATCGACTAGTTTGCTATTATATACCTTTAACTGTCCGACAAATATATCGACTAGTTTGCTATTATATACCTTTAACTGTCCGACAAATATATCGACTAGTTTGCTATCGTCTCGTCTCAAATATCTTTTCCAAGCCTCCATTCCCTGCTCCTCAACACTGGGAAAAATTTACTTTAAAACAAAAATGTTATAATAATAAAAATAACAAGGATAAAAAGATAATAATCATATATGTATATAAGTATGGGAACCCAGTCCTGCCCAGGTTACAAAAAGTTTATCCCGCCGTTTACCCGCACTTGAAAGATTTTACCGGGAAACTTAATTTTCTCTATTAAAGTCGACCCACTCAACTTAGAAATTTCAAAACCAAGCTAAGAACATTCCCGTGGGTCTCACGAGTTGCCCAATCAAAATTTGAGGCAAATCGGTTCAGGTTCCTGAGTTATGATCCGTCAACAAACAGACAGAAAGACAGAGATTGCAACTTTATATAAATAGATATATAGAAATTGAATAATGATAATTTTAATAATATAATAAAAACTAAAAAGAAAATAATCCAGACCCGAGATCTATACATATTCAGATTGTTTTAATATATTGCACTGCTATAGTTGAATAAGTTAAGTATATATATCAATAATGATAAAAATAACACTAGTGATATAAATAATAATAAAAAAATAACAATAACATGAATAAGAATAATAGTAAACATAATAAAAAAAATAAATAAATGAAACTGAATAAATAAAAATAAATAAATAAAAATGGATAAATGAAAATGAATAAATAAAAATGAATAAATGAAAATGAATAAATGAAAATGAATAAATGAAAATGAATAAATGAAAATGAATAAATGAAAATGAATAAATGAAAATAAATAAATGAAAATGAATAAATAAAAATGAATAAATGAAAATGAATAAATGAAAATGAGTAAATGAAAATGAATAAATGAAAATAAATAAATGAAAATGAATAAATAAAAATGAATAAATGAAAATGAATAAATAAAAATGAATAAATGAAAATGAATAAATGAAAGTGAATCAATAAAAGTAAATAAATGAAAATGAATAAATGAAAATGAATGAATGAAAATAAAAAAATCAGGATGACTACATGAAAGAATGAATTACCCCTAAGGTTTGGTAACAAACCAATATACACAATCGTAAAATATCATATTTGTTTTATTTTGTAAACTAAGCTATAAAATGCTTCATATACCTCAATATATAACATTCTCAAGACAGGGGGTGCAAAAATTATTGACAAGATAAATAAAATTAAAATCACAACATTTTTTTCTCAAACTTTAATTATTTGATTTGATTTTTTTATTGTTGGAAATATCTTGGGTTGCAAAGATATGGGGATTAAAAAATCAGAGATTTTGGCAAAGACTTAATTAATTCCTTTCAACTGTGACAGAATTTGTTTTACAAAAACATTTTGCATTCATTATTTTTTTGTGACACCCTATCTAATGGTCTATAAACAGTATACTAAATTTACTAGATTGTGTATTGTTTTCAAAGCTATAATTGCCTAGTCCAATATTTATTTTTGTTAAGCCAGTTTTTGTCAAATAGAATAGAATATTTTTTAGAAATGTATGTATTTTAAATATGAAGGTATTTCATACATATTTACATTGTTTAAAAACAAATTTTGTCATTTAATGTAGACACATGATTATTTTATATTTTTATATAAAAACTAGCCTTGGAACCCGGCTTTACTTGGAAACTCAGTTTTCCCTGTCTAAGTCAACCTACTTCACTTAGAACTTTTAAACCTAGCACATTGTCGGGGTTCTACAAGGGTCCCGATCAAATTTCAGGCAAATCAATGAAAGGGGTTTATGAGCTATGATCGGACATACTAAATAACTACTTTCTAATTTTATACAATCCTGTTGTAGTGACTAGCTTTTCCCAGCTTTATATTAATCTTAATAGTCTAAGTTTATCCCGCCCTTTATCCGTGCTTGGTATAAATAGTTAAACATGATTTTAGTTTAAGTGCCCGGCGTTGCACGTTGAATTTCAAATTGTCCAACATTGTTTAACCTTTTTCACCTCCGACGTACTCAAGGCTCCATCAAAAATCAAAAAAATGTAGCCAATTATTATAAATATTAATAAAGTAAAAAACCTAAGATTAGAATCTATTTCGGTATGAATAGATTGAGGTTTTACAGTCACCCTGTTTACGTCTTCGTGTAATCCTTCCAGTAAATATCTCAAGAACTCCTGCACATATCAAATTTATTAATTAATTAATCAATTCAATCATATTTACAGTAACTACCCATCTTCTAAATTAATTGTGAACATGTTCTCTTTGTGTACATCGTAAAACAAAACAAAAATAATTCGTGGATTTTCAAAATGTTCAAAATTTAATGAAGATCGAATTTTGATGGAGACAAATATTTGAAATTTTGATCATTCATAAACCTTCCCTTGGGTCCCTAGATGTCCCACAAAAAATTTGGGCCCGATCGGTTCAGCCGTTTTGACGTTTATTGGATACAAACAGACAGACAGACAGACAGACAAGCCAAATATATATATAGATAACCAGATGACTGTAGAATAGGAAGGCGATATTAAAGCAACATTGAAGTGCATTTGATGTTGTTGTCACAAAGCAAATAGCTTTACTGCTAAAAATTCCACTGATAAAATTCCAAAAATGGTCTGAGGAAAATAATTAGAACAAGGGAAAAACGTTGGATAAAAAGTTGTGAAAATGTTGAGAGTCAAATGTAAAAATAGATTTCGTGACAGAAGCTCCTCAGCTTCCGAGTTTGTCTCTTCAAACTGTTTTATCAGGGTATATAAACCAGTCCAGGAGGTTTATTGGTAGAGATGGGCAGGTATATAAACCAGTCCAGGAAGTTTATTGGTAGGGATGGGCGGGTATATAAACCAGTCCAGGAGGTTTATTGGTAGGGATGGGCAGGTATATAAACCAGTCCAGGAGGTATATTGCGTAGAGATGGGCGGGTATATAAACCAGTCCAAAAGGTTTATTGGTAGGGATGGAAAGGTATATAAACCAGTCCAGGAGGTTTATTGGTAGGGATGGGCGGGTATATAAACCAGTCCAGGAGGTTTATTGGTAGGGATGGGCAGGTATATAAACCGGTCCAGGAGGTTTATTGGCAGGGATGGGCGGGTATATAAACCAGTCCAGGAGGTTTATTGGTAGAGATGGGCGGGTATATAAACCAGTCCAGGAGGTTTATTGGTAGGGATGGGCGGGTATATGAACCAGTCCAGGAGGTATATTGCTTGGGATGGGCGAGTATATAAACCAGTCCAGGAGGTTTATTGGTAGAGATGGGCGGGTATATAAACCAGTCCAAAAGGTTTATTGGTAGGGATGGAAAGGTATATAAACCAGTCCAGGAGGTTTATTGGTAAGGATGGGCGGGTATATAAACCAGTCCATGAGGTATATTGGTAGGGATTGGAGGGTATATAAACCAGTCCAGGAGGTTTATTGGTAGAGATGAGAGGTATATAAACCAGTCCAGGAGGTTTATTGGTAGGGATGGGCGGGTATATAAACCAGTCCAGGAGGTTTATTGGTAGGGATGGGCAGGTATATAAACCAGTCCAGGAGGTATATTGCTTGGAATTGGCGGGTATATAAACCAGTCCAGGAGGTTTATTGGTAGGGATGGGCGGGTATATAAACCAGTCCAGGAGGTTTATTGGTAGAGATGAGAGGTATATAAACCAGTCCAGGAGGTGTATTGGTAGGGATGGGCGGGTATATAAACCAGTTTAGGAGGTTTATTGGTAGGAATGGGCGGGTATATAAACCAGTTCAGGAGGTTTATTGGTAGAAATGGGCGGGTATATAAACCAGACCAGGAGGTATATTGCTTGGGATGTGCAACGTTCTTAAAAACTACAAAAAACTTGTTTGATGCGTTTTGAATTTTTGAAAACAAACCTTGTTTTAGATAATCGAGATAAACCATTAGTTAAAACCAACAAAGTGTTAGTTTTAAAATTTGGAAAAATGAAAGGACAAATTTAAATTGTTTCCTAACCTGACTATCCTCCTGGTTGTACCCCGAGAACCTCGGAGCAAACCTCTGTACAGCACCTGAGTATGTACATACAATTAAATCTAAGTATGTACTGATTATGTACAATGTACATGTACATATAATTAAAACTGAGTATGTAGTTAGTATGTACAATGTACATGTACAATAATTAAAACTGAGTATGTCCCGAGTATGTACAATGAACATGTACATACAATTAAAACTGTACCAAAGATAGTTTGTAATATTTCAATTAACGAGAGTATAAATAAATCAATTTCTATTTGTAATGTAATCACGAAAAAAAAATAAGTTTTTGCAACAAACTATGTAGTAATTAGTCCCTTTATCTTTGCAACCCGATTTCGTAGGCCTTATTTAATTCAAACTATATTAGCAAATAGTCTAAGTTTAATATATGAAATATTTTCACCATCAGGTTGCAAAGATATGGAAAATAGAAAATTGGACTTTGTGACAAAATCTCGACTTCTTTTCACTACTTGGGATAACGCTATTATCTGCAAGGTAAGTATTTGTTGTTGATGTTACTTTTATTAACAAAATTATTTTGAATTGACCTTTTAAAGTTGACGGATCTACAGTACGAGCATTAGGTTTCCATAAACTCTTCACAACCGTGGCAAAAGCTGAAAATAATGTGATTAAAGGGATTGTTCACTGATTCAGGAGAATTCAGTAACATCCTAATTTTTTCAAATTTTAGGGTAATCTGGAACATCTTTAAAGAGAGTGACGTTTTTACGTTCTACCACTGAGATATTGACATTTCTCTGAAAGTTGGTTACCAAAATATGAGTTGGTTACCAAAATATAAGACAGTTTCGACTTTAAAGTGTCGCAGCGCCTTTTTATTTGGTTTGACCTCGTCTACTCACAAATAATTTTTTGTAGCCATAGGCATATTTATTTTAAAATTGCAATGCTCATGTTTCTAGTTTAAGTTTAAAAGGAGTAATTGGTAAAATACTGCTAGATTTTTGCGTAAGAGCGTGCACACATCAATTGGTTCGCTGTGCTATATACTGAAAACTCATTCTTTAAAAATAATTCTGAAAGCTTTCTCACAAGATTCCATTTTTAAAAATCATCCAATTAACCCGGACGAAAGTCGCAATGCAAATTCTTTTTTCCTAAATTACAATTTGTAATTCTAAGTGTTGACATATCTGGAGTGGTAAGTCCGGCTTATCCTTATTCCAAAATACGAATCTTTTAATTAGGTGAAGGGAAATAAAAAACACATTTCCCTGCATTTAACTTGTTTAGGAAATACAAATAAACAAAATATCTTGTTTTTTTTTGTATATAGGGATAACAACTAAGCCTATCTTAACACTCAAACATTGTACTGCTGGCTAAAAAATCGAAAGAAAATCAGAACATTATAATTATAATTAAACTATACACTTAAGACAAAACTTGTTTTTTTTTACACAAATGGCAAATTTGGATTGATTACAATGGGGAAGGTTATTTTGACAGAGTAGGTTGTAATAATTACTTTAATTAATGATTACTTTAAATTAACAATTAACTTTAATTAATGACTACCTTTAATTTATAATTACCTTTCATTAATTACCTTAAATTACATTTAAATAATATTTCCCTTTACTAAAAACTACCTTCAATTAACGATTTCCTTAAATTAAAAACTAACGTTCATTAATGATTACCTTTATTTAACAATAACCTTTAATCAATTATTTCCTTTAATTAATAATTAAATTAGCTTAAAATGATAATTACCTATAATTTATAATTACCAAAATTAATAAATACCTTTAATTAAAAATTACCTAGATTAAAAAATACCTTTCATGATAAATATTTTTAATGACAAATTACCTTAAAATATTAATTTTCTTACACAATTAGTAATTACCTTTAATTAATGAACCCTTCATAGAAGAATTACTATTAATATCATTAGAATATTCATCAGACAGTAGAAAATCACACAGAAGCTTAGTGTTGCTTAAACACTGCACAAAATAATATTATTATTATTATTATTATTATTATTATTATTATTATTATTATTATTATTATTATTATTATTATTATTAATAATACCTGTATAACAGAGTTCATGAAGCAAGTATTTCCTAGGTTTTTAAGTCCTCCAGTAGCCCCAGAACCCCCGGTCTTTTCACAACTATTTTCCCCGTTCTAAATAATATTATATTTTTAGTAATAATTTGACACGATATGTATTGTAGATTGGTCAGCATAATCATCAATACAATGTCATTTAATGAAATGAAATGATGATATAATACAAGTTTAGTATTAACTCACTGGTATACACGCAGACCGTTACTATTTTATAGTAATTCAGCACCGGATAGTGTACTGAAATATTTGTCAGCCTCTGTATTATATCAGATCATGTTTTCTTTAAAATAAATATCAAAATCTAAAAGAATATTGGTTTAGGATAAATATATTGTATAGTAGATCTAAGATGTATATAGATTTATTCAATAATATATAGAATACACTCACGATAGTAGCATTGTTTACAAATTAAGAGTTCTGCAGTTTCTGGGAGGAATGTAAACAAAGCTGAGCAGGATTGCGTTTGTTTACAATCCTCCCTGAACCTACAGTACACTTAATTTGCAAAAAAAAACTACGAGATTACTATTTATATGTAGATAAATACAATTATAATTATATATTAAGTAAATAGATGTAAATTCTGAACTTAAAAAAATATATATAAATTGAATTAATTTAAGTATTGTATTTTGTCTACAAAAAAAACCCCAGTATTAAGTTTCCATCTGTACAGAAAATATCTACAGATATGTTTAACTTTGCTATTTCTCAGATATGAGACAAAAAAGTTTTAAAACCTTAAATCTTGTTTCTCCCGACGTTTGGTTAAATTTCTCGTTTCTGAGTTTCGGGGATTCGGGTTCGGGGGATCCATTTGACAATGAGGATCGATTGGTTTGAGGGGATCGATCGAACTGAGGGGATCGATTAGAATGGGGTGATCCATTGAATTGGTTGTAAGTTTGCTGAACTGGTTGTTGATTAGATCTTGCATTGTCCAAAGGTTCTTCTACAACGTTGTAAACACTTAAATTTTATAGTTTGCTTTAGTAGTTTTAAATAAATATCAGTTTTTTTGTTCAACTCTTAAACTTTTTACCCCCACATTTTAAAATATCTCTTTTTATCTATTATAAGTTTTAAACGTGGGTCTTATTTAGTCATGAATATTAATATTTAAAGTTTTTGCTGATATCTTTCAAACATGATCAAAAATATAATGGCGCATTCTTACAAAGTTTAAAGCTAATGCGGATGTTTGGGTTTGGTTTGTGACACTGCACTAATCATAATTTATTTTATATTGGAAATAACATCTGCTTTATTTTCTTTATTGTGGTTGGACCAACATTAACACCAGTTTATTCATATTTCTAAAGGAATAGAATCTTTTCCACAAACTCTCATATCTTTGCAACCCAGGGAACTTAATATTTCAAACCAACAATTTTGTTCAATCAAATAATCTCAAAGAACTGAGTTTTTGCCACAAACTCGAATTTTCTAATCCCTATATTTTTACAACCTGGTGGAGTAAACCTTTGATAATTCAAACTTTGATCTAACAGAATTTCTGGTTTAAAATATTAAAGGTCTATGACATTGAGTTGCAAAGATATAGGAATTAGAAATCTGGCAAAAACTCAGTTCCTTTGAAATATCAAAGGTTTTCACAATCAAGTTGCAATGATATTAGGATTAGAAAATTAAAGTTTTTTGACAGACAACTTAAACAATTTACAATTCAAAATAATTAAGTCTAAGTGTTAAAGCCTTGATTCCTGAGCAAATTGTGGAATTATTATTGATAATATCATGATTATCCGGAGACCAAGATTTTCCTCGAACATTCTCCAGGTTCTCCCGACCCATCCCAGGATCCCTGATATTATGAGCACCCGGAGAACCTAGCCGACCCGTCCCAGGATCCCTGATCTCGGACCGGGTATTGAGAGTACCCGGAGCATGTGTTGAACCAAAGGGAGGAGTCCGTGATTTACTTCGTCGTTTAATCTGACTGCCAGGTCTACAGAATATAGTTGAAAAATAATCATTTGTTTATTGCTTAAAGGCACGGAAAACTAATTTTAAGCAACCCTCTATTTACTGAGTTGCATATCTGATTCATAACGGTGCCCTTTACACCTTTATCCGTGCAATAATGAGGAAGAAATTTGATCTTAAACAGTATAAAACTTCCTTTCTTTCCTTCACAGCCTTTGCAGCATAAATCCGCAAGTTACTTTAATAAAAGAGATACAACAGGTAAGAGCACTCTAGTATGCCGAGTCCATTGGCGTCTAATCCAATCAGGGTTCACCCATGTGTTTGGTGTCTATTCTAAACCAATAGAAATTGCATGGCGGTAACATGCATCTATCTTTCTATTCAGCTCATTATCCAATTAGAGATATCGGCGCTATGACAGTAAATGGAAATATTTACTTCTACTGAAACTATAATTAAAGGTTACCATTGCCAATCGGGCATGCAATGTCGACAGTCCTTTTAAAGGGACAGTCAAACAAAAAGATTTGAACTGGTATTTTAATGAAGTCTTTCTTAATATAAAAAAATGAAAAGTTATCTTACGTAATTTTCCTTTCCTATAAGATCAGTTTTTTTATTATTCAAATTTGATAATTTTTTCCCTGATAGGTTCCCTGATACACGGTTTCTCACTGAAATCACTTCGGCTAGACCCCGCATTATCACATCTCCCTGGGGACGGTGATTTTAATGTTCTAAGAGGAGATGCGGATTTAATTCCTGGAACTGGACTCCGGGATTTAAACTGAGGAGCCGGGGAGGATTGCTTGATTGATTGATTGCTGGGTTTCCGATGGAATGGTTTGATACTGGTGTCTAGAGGAGGGAGGCGGGATTTTATTCCGTTATATCCGTATACAGGAGTCTCACGGGGTACCACCGTTACCGTGGGAGCCTGGTAGATTCGACCCACGGGCATTCTGTATACTTAATACTCTCTGAAAACTGTTCAATCTATTTATCAAGTAATATTGCCTGAAAACTGTTCTTTCTAATTAATTAATACTCTTTGAAAACTGTTTTATCTAATATAACGAATGCTCTCTGAAAAATGTTTCACATCTATTCAATTAAATACTCTCTGAGAATTGTCCAGTCTGTAGAATTGATACTTTCTGAAAACTGTTCAGTCTATAGAATTGATATTCTCTGAAAACTGTTCGGTCTATAGAATTCATACTCTAGAAAAACTGTCCAGTCTATAGAATTGAAACTATCTGAAAACTGTTCAGTCTATAAAGTTAATACTCTATGAAAACTGTTCAGTCTATAGAATTGATACTCTCTGAAAGTTTTCAAGACTATAGAACTGAAATTATCTGAAAACTGTTTAGTCTATAGAGTTAATACTATATGAAAACTGTTCAGTTTATAGAATTGATACTCTCTGAAAAATTTCCAGTCTATAGAATTGATACTCTCTGAAAACTGTTCAGTCTATAAACTTAATACTTTCTGAAAAACTGATTATTCTTTAAAATTGTAACTTTTTAAACAACATTTAGTCTATTCACTTTATACTCTCTGAAAATTAACTATTCTGTAAACTTGATACTCATTGAAAACTGTCAAGTCCATAAAATTGAAACTCTATACTATCAAGTTTTGAACTCTTGGCCTAAGGGAATACATAAAAGTACTTTTCAATTTACTGGTTAGGTTAGTAAACACATTTGATGAAACAACTTTAATATTTTTTTATTCTTTTAGTTCGTTGAAATTTTAGCCTTTTAGTAGATTTGTTGAGAATTTTTCAGATTGTTTCTGGAATTTAAATCTTTTTATTTTAGAAAAATTCGTTAAATTTTGTTGAATCAGCTTTCTTCGCTCCTTTTTCCTACTCCAGGATTGCTGACATTTCATAGTTTTATCTAGTCCATTCAGTTCATATTATTCACAACAATACAATCCGATTCTATATTTATCTAGTCCATTCATTTCATATTATTCACAACAATACAATCCGATTCTACATTTATCTAGTCCATTCATTTCATATTATTCACAACAATACAATCCGAATCTACATTTATCTAGTCCATTCATTTCATATTATTCACAACAATACAATCCGAATCTATATTTATATAGTCCATTCATTTCATATTATTCACAACAATACAATCCGAATCTATATTTATCTAGTCCATTCAGTTCATATTATTCACAACAATACAATCCGAATCTACATTTATCTAGTCCATTCATTTCATATTATTCACAACAATACAATCCGAATCTACATTTATCTAGTCCATTCAGTTCATATTATTCACAACAATACAATCCGAATCTATATATATACGCTGATTTTCTGCATTTTTGTTTGTATCCAATAAACGTCAAAACGGCTGAACCAATCGGGTCTGATGTTTTTTTTGGTGGCAACTCTCATGACCCCAAGGAAGGTTTTTGGAAAGATGTAGCTAAACAAATTTTAAAAATGCAAATTTGGAAGAAAAATCCGCAAAATACGATTTAAAAGGATGAAAAATGGCAGCTTGAGAATCAACGGTTAAAAGCTAAAATTTTTACTAAAAGAGAAGCGTGAAGCGCTCTAAAGGCTAGTTTTTCAAATTAAAGGAAGTGTTTTCAAAATAGCTGAATACAATTATTTAGAATAAACATGTTGCAATTGGATCAAATAATTTAGGAAATTAGAATACGCTTTTATTTAAACTCTCTTTAGAAATTTACATTTGAAAATTAGAAAAAAATAGATTGTTTAGTTTTTGTTTAAAAGTTTGTTTATGTTTTTATTTTTACTCACAAACTCATCCAAGCTTTTGTAGCCTTAGACGCGTATTTTTGAGAAATATTAAGCATTTGTTTTCAGCTTTGATTTTTATGAATTAATTGGCAAGATTCTCATCATAGTATTTTTGGGCTAGAGCTTGCAACTTTTAGATCACCGCGCCGTGTGGTGTTTATCCCATCCTGCATAATTGCGTAATTCTTTGTTCTACGAAATATTACATCATCATCATTTTCGAACTATTCACCTTCTTAGAATATATCTCAGAACATTGACAGTTCAATAAATGAAAATATTAAAATATAATGAATCACTTTTGCTTTTATCTATATTATCTATCTATTGACAATTGCAAAAATAAGTGCAGCCGCAAAAATGTAAGATATGATCACATGAATGAAACTATATAGAATAAAGCTTAAATTATGTTTAAAACGTAAATTTCAGAATTTTTTTCAAACTATTTTTTTGCATGAAAATATTGATCACGTTTGTTTTATTTTGCTTATGCTGTCAATAAATCGACGTTTGTGAAAAGTGTAGTTACAAAAATGTAGGATACGGTCTAGCTAAACTGTCTGCTTCAACACGGATTTTGAAATTTTTTGTCAAAACAACATTTTTTTTGAGTTTTCAAAATTGGTTTGAACTTGAAAAATGGTTGAAGGATGACTCATTGAAATGTAATTTCTCCAGATCTCACAACTATACTTGGAGAGTACACAGTGTTCTGTAGACTGGAGGACTAATGCTGTAGTTTCAGGGCAAAACAACAAAAATTCATCACAAAAACTTTTCTTCAAAGCTAAATTTTTTCAAAAAAAATATTGAGACATTTTTAAAAATATTTTTGTTTTGGAGTAAAAGTTTATCCCTGTAGGAGGCTGAATCTGAAGGCCTGGATTCAAGCCAATATATTCCAGCATTCCCCCTTTATATATTTGTATAGAAAAAGTGTCCAACTTTTTAGCATAATTTTTTTATTCTTTTTCCTATTCTTATTAAACATCCATGAAGGATTGTGAGAGGTGGATAGGGTTAAAACAATGAGGGTCATTGTCAAAATCAGTCTATCTATCTACCAACCTATCTATCTATCTAACTACTTTCTATCTATTTGCAACATAAAAGTTTAGGTCAAGTTCAAATTAAAATCTAGGTGACTGAAGAATAAGGCGATTGTGTGAATTTTACTCCCCTGTCGGATATACCAATACACGAATACATTTTTCGGATATTTTTAATTTCTTTTTGCAAAGGAACTGATTTCCTGCAACAAACACTATTCGTATGTAATTATTACAAATAATATAACGTCGTTTCTATTACAAAAGGGAAACTTTTTTTATTAAGTACAATTGATTTGTTTGATATTTTAATTATATGATGTATTTAGATATTAATACAAATTCATGTAAATATTCATACTTTATACATTATTATCCATTATACATTATAATGTACATATCTACTACACTATACAATACAATACATCTATATAATATGTATATATTCATACTTTATACATTATAATGTACATATCTACTACTCTACTATACAATAAAAATAAGATAAACATTTTTACAAAGGAATTGATTACCCGTCTCTTTCTCTAACATTGCAACGAGATGTCGTAGACCTTTGAGATTTCAAACTAAGAATTCTGCTAATAGTCAGTTTTTAAAATGTCAAAGGTTTGTACCATTAGGTTCCAAAGTTATAGGGATTAGAAATTTAGAGTTTGAGAAAGTGACAACTTTATTGAGAAAGTGACAATTTCATTGAAAAAGTGACAATTTCATTGAGAAAATGAAAACTTTATTGAGAAAGTGACAATTTCATTGAGAAAGTGACAATTATTAGGAAAGTGACAAATTCATTGAAAATGTGACAATTTCATTGAGAAAGTGACAATTTCATTGAGAAATTGACAATTTCATTGAGAAAGTGACAATTTCATTGAGAAAGTGACAATTTCATTGAGAAAGTGACAATTTCATTGAGAAAGTGACAATTTCATTGAGAAATTGACAATTTCATTGAGAAAGTGACAATTTCATTGAGAAAGTGACAATTTCATTGAGAAAGTGAAAACATTATTGAGAAAGTGACAATTTCATTGAGAAAGCCTCTATTGTAGATTCCTAACAAATGAATACAGAATACTTTATCAGAAAAAAGCTTTGAATGGTACCGGCAAACAATCGGACATGTAAAATTATCAATAAAGGGGTTCCGTTAAATAGCAAAATTTTTGGATGAAATTAGATCATGCCCCATATATCAGTAGTATCTTGTCATCAATGAAATTCTAAACTTGTCCAGTAACAATTCCGCCGAATACAGATATAGGACAAAGTATGTTAAACACATGTTTATTGTTTTAAAGGGACTGTAGGCGTAATTTCAATTAACCATACATTTGCAGTTACATACATACATGCCTGGTTTACGATATTTAATCTATAATTCTTTGTCAAAGCAAAATTTTCTTGTTTTTTTTTCTAAATAAAAATTGATAATTTGTAATTTAGTTTTCTCTCTAAAGTGGTTTGCAGAGACATAACGGGAAGCTGGTAAAAAATAAACACTTTTTTATAACAAAACTTTGGGTATTGTTTCTTAGAAATATAGTTTAGAAAATACAGTTGAAAATCGGGCATATAAGTCTTTAGTTTGTGGTACCTGGAAATTACGTTTTCAGCAACAACATGTAATTTTTTTTTGTCCTTTAATTCCAAGTTTCTTGTTTCGATCATTAAATTTACAAGTTGTTATTGTTATCAATCACAACATATATATCTTGTCCCAACGATTTAACCCCCATATCTAAGGTTATAATGCAAGGAAAGTTATTTCAGAGGTGTACGCATCTTTTGTACTGCAGTGTACTGGCTCTGGAAGGTTTAATGTAAACACAAGACGGATGTCAAAGCCAAACATGGGATCCATCTTTCACATAAAAATCAATGAAATATTCTGGTCATAGGAAACTATTATGTGATTTATCAAAATTATCAAAATTCAATGCTTTTAACCTCCTCGGATACTAAACGAACATTAATGCATCTATTCTTGTTTACAAATTCTGCCAAGAGAGAACTAGTTTTAACATGTACGCAGAATATACGCAACTTCAATTTACTTTCCTTGCATTATAATTTTGCCCATACCTTTGTTTATGTATAAAGTGTACTGCATTTTCTGGTAGAAACGTAAATAAACAATTCTTATTGCTCAGTTTGAACGTAGTTTTTCCTANAGTATGGTTCATGAGTATGGTTCATGAGTATGGTTCATGAGTATGGTTCATGAGTATGTCCAATGAACACAAGACACAGAAATTGTGCAGTGCAATCAGACCCATTTCTCTTAATACATTTAAAACTATTTGCTTTGTACGTAACCACATATAATACATTTCATTATTAATTAAATGTCGTCGTCCTTTTCCACCGTTTTCTTGTTCTCACTGCATAATAACATCTATTCCAGGTTAGGGTATATAGGTTAAAATAGATTAATAATCTGAGAAGGAGGGGCTGAAAGTCCCCGGCATATTTGATAAGAAACCACCGAGGTTTGTTTAAATTCCTCCCAAAAATGCAGTACACTTTACATGTAAACAAAGATAACAGGGTTCTAGATCTTCCTACCTGATTTTGTTTATATGAATCTGAACTGTTGGATTCATCAGTACGTCCTCCATACGCTCTAGATAATAATTATATATTAGAATATAAATACGATTTTATTTAAAAGATAGATCAGCAGTTTAATATCATTTAGGTCAGGCTAACATTGATTTTGATATGTGCAATTGCATAATTGAATGACATTTTCATTTTTTTTCAAGAGCAGTTTATTCAAAATTTATTTGCTATATTTATGAGTGCCAGCTATTCCATGTATCTAGAAATTTCTACTCTTGGTATTTTGTTAAAACCCACTAGCATCATCTACCGATCTAATTTCAACAAAATTCGTGAACGCCACCTAACTGTCTTAGTACAAGAAAGTCCACTAGCATCACCTACTAATATAATTTCAGCAAAGCCAATTGGCACTACCTACGACGGTACATAATTTCAGTAAAGGCTACTAGTGCCACCTACAAATTTTATTTCAGCAAGGGCTACTAGCGCCACTTAACTGTCTAATTTCAGCAAAGGCCGCTAGTGGAACCTGCTAATCTAATATCAGCAAAGCCAACTGACGCCTCCTACAAATCTTATTTCAACAAAGACCATTAGCGCCACCTAACAATCTAATTTTAGGAAATCTAACTTGCGCCACCTACGCATCTAATTTTAGCAAAGTTCACAAGCGCTACCTATTAATCTAATTTTAGCAAAGTTCACTAGCGCTACCTAGTAATCTAATTTTAGAAAATCCTAGACTAGTGCCACCTGCCCATCTAATTTCAGCAATGATCACTAGCGCCTCCTAGCAATCTTAAATTAATAAAGTTCACTAGAGCTGCCTACCTTGTATAATCTCGTTTATAAGTTGGTGTGCTATCATCAAGAACAGTGCTATACCTAAATAAGAAGATTAAGAAATATATCTTTTTCCCGAAGTCAGGACTTTTGTGTTAAATCTCATGTTTAAGCATTAATCTTCATATCATGCAGTACTTAGGATTAATTCAATTTCTCTTCGAGATCCCATGATTGCAGGGACAACTTTGACTGACGGATCATAGGTTCAAAACTGCGCTTGCATTGGATATTAAGATCAAGCATTCAAGATTCATCTTTTATTCTTCTTCAATATCCCATTATTATTATATGTTGCAGGAACAAATTTGATTGAGGGATCAAGCAATGATCCTTAAATTCAAAAGTGCCAACATTGGATATCAAGATCAAGCATTCAAGATTAACCATATCCAGTCCTAAAATAATTTCAGATGTCCGCAAGATTTAGAAAAAATACAAAAAAATTGTCTACCTTCTGTAACTGCTACGAACTGGGCTGGATTCCTCAGTTTCACTAAATAAAATATAATTAAGTTTTCTAAAAGGAGATGGTGGAGATTATATTATATTTTTTTATTATCTTACTTGTCAACAAAACGTGAATATCCATTATATTTTGAAGTTACATTATCTTGGTCTTTCTCCCTAAATCAATAATCAAATTAATCATCGAATGAAAATCAAAATTATATTTTTAAATGGACTGTTCCTGAAAATGTATTTCGCACCTGTCCACGGTATATCTTGAGTATGCACTTGATCTTGTATATCCTGTATCTTCATCTTTATCCCTGAAAAATATATATTGTTATATTTAAAAGTGGTATCAAATAAAGGAAATCTAAAGTTTTAAAACTGATGTGAGGAAATCTACAGAGTATCGGAAAAAATGTATTTACCAGTAAAAAATGAACAAATTAAAATGATACGAATGAATCATGGAAAGCCGGAGCTCTATGACGGACTCTCCGCCTTTCATTCGCCTCGTGCGACGAGCCCAAGTTGATCCCATTTTCCCCTTCTAAGCCGTGATTAATGTCTATTGGATTGAATTCAAACCAGGATCTGGGGCAACGGTGGCTTCGGTTTTGCACATGTTCAAACATGCATTCAAAGCATGTTTTCTGGGTTGGCATTTTTTAACGACAAATATTTCTCCACTTTGGCAACTTATCACCCGCCCCACTTTTTGTCCAAAAGAAATATACAAAAGAGCTAATAAGTTGTCTTGTTTATTGGCCGGACTACTTGCAATCCGAGCTTAGCTCAGGGTCCGTATGAAAATTAAAGGGGTTATATCAATGGAACTATCCCTATTCCAAGCGATTGCGCTCACATTGGTTATGTCTAAGCTCCAGGTCTGTGTGAGGACTAAAGGGGTTACAATATATCTATAAAAATAAAGTAATAATCTCTTTTTTGGTGTCAGTCTTTTTGGATATTCGATCATAATCCCAAGACCGATTTGCCTTAATTTTTGTTTGGAGAACTCAGTATAGAATCATGAAAATGTAGTTAGCCTGGTTTAACAATTTGAGGCAGGATGAATTTTACAGGGAAAAGCTAGGTTCCCAAGATAATATTAAGATAAATCTTTAATTGTAATTTAATAACTTCAAATTTTAAATTTCTACTTTTTCATACTTTCAAGATCCAACTATGGATCCACTTAATCTTGAACGAAAATTCGGACCTTAAATCATACCATGGTTCATGAGTATGGTTCATGAGTATGGTTCATGAGTATGGTTCATGAGTATGGTTCATGAGTATGGTTCATGAGTATGGTTCATGAGTATGGTTTATGAGTATGGTTACATGATTCGAGCCAGTACAACATCTATTGTAAATGCATTCAGTCGTACAGTTCAGTCTGGACTACTCGGTTTAGAGTAGAACCAGCACGTATTCTGCAACAAATGTAACCTACCAAGATCACAGTGCCCTAAATGTAGGATAAATACAGGGCTACCCACAAAGGATGAGACTTAGGAGACGACTGTACGGAAATTAAACTGTCTTTTTCTGAATATAAATAATTACCTGCAACTTTTTCTTTTTTTGAAGAGTAAACTTAAACCAACACGCCTAAATCTAACCTTGAGATCGACATATTTTAAGAGTTTCAGACCGCCTTTACAGTCTCATCCTTTGTGGGTAACCCTAGGTACCAGGGTTTATACAAACCTGTCAAGAAACCTAGATCTCGGAGCTGCAACACTATTTCTTCTTGTTAGCTTACTCAACCCTTCTAAACAATAATTTTTAGGCAAAGGAATTAAGTATTCGTCACACTGCTGATATTCTTAAACCAATATCTTTGCAACCTAATGTTGTAGAAATTATATGAATCAAGGTTGTATAATAAGGTAAGTTACTCTCGATGTGCTCAAAGGTACGAAAAATGTCGTCTCCTAAGATAGATATATAAATACCCAATATGACGTCACTCTCGCCTCTATAATCAGTGACGTCACATTGTGTATCAATCTTATTAGACGACATTTTCCGTACATTGGAGCGCATCGAGAGTAACTAACCTTTTTATACAACCTTGCTATGAACTCTGTAATCTGTTAGAATAAAATGATCTAAGTTTAAAATTATCAAATGTTTAAAACATCAGGTTGCATGGATATACGGATTAGATAAGACAATTTGAGATTGTGTCAAAGACTCAATTCCTTTAACATAAGATTTAAGAAATATTGTTTCCTTACGTTAAGATTAAATATTGACTGAACAATATTTAGGAACAGAATGTATGGTTACTTTTGTAAATCCCAAATGACAATTCTTTAAAGAACATTAAACGTAATTTAAGGTGTCCTTCCACTTAAAAAGTGACATGCTTGATTCAAATAGGTACTTTAAAGCCTCCGTCTAACCAAAAATGTAAAATTTATACTTTTTTCTCTGGAAATTAAAAAAATCCGCTTTTGGGTTCTCTCTGAAAGTTTTCTTGCGGATTTTTGCTGGTAACGTTGTGAATCGCAACAAGCAGTCACTTTGAATTACGTCGACAGTCCCTTTAAAAAGGTCTGAGTAGTACTTAATATTTGTTGACATTCCCTTTTAACAAAATTGTTACCGTCGTCATCAGTTGAGAGAAGACGAGATAATCGCTTAGAACTTTCTGTAATATCTCCTAGTACAGATGTAGACCTAAACAAGAACTTTCTGTAATATCTCCCAGTACAGAGGTAGACCTTAACAAGAACTCTGTAATATCTCCCAGGACAAAGGTAGACCTAAACAAGAATTCTGTAATATCTCCAAGTACAGAGGTAGACCTAAGCAAGAACTCTGTAATATCTCCTAGGACAGAGGTAGACCTATACAAGAAATTTGTAATATCTCTCAGTACAGAGGTAGACCTAAACAAGAACTCTGTAATATCTCCCAGTACAGAGGTAGACCAAAACATGAACTTTCTGTAATATCTCCTAGTATCTCTCAGAGGTAGACCTAAACAAGAACTCTGTAATATCTCCCAGTACAGAGGTAGATCTAAACAAGAACCCTGTAATATTTTCAAGTACAGAGGTGGACCGAACAAGAATTCTGTAATATCTCCTAGTACAGAGGTAGACCTATACAAGAACTCTGTAATATCTACCAGTACAGTGGTAGACCTAAACAAGAACTTTTATCTCCTAGTATAGAGGTGGACCAAACAAGAACTCTGTTGTTACGCGAGCCATGCTGCGTGTAGAAAGTCTGCTTGTCACCCCTGGGTATTTCTGAGTTCTCCCTGAAGATCTGTACGGAATGTATTGTGAAAGAACTAGTTTAGGAACTGTTTACAGTCCGACTGCGCAGACGCAAGATTTCTTGCGGAATAGTAACTAATTTATGTCAGTATATGTTTATTCGTTTTGCAAGTATTAGCCGTGTTCAGAATTCTGGGATCACTGTGGTAACTATTTTTATATATATTTATGCTTGTCGGTTTGATTATAATATGATTGATATTTGTATATGTGTTTATTGGTTCCTAGCCACAGTTTTTTAATGCCTGAGTGAATTATTTATTGTAGTTGTATGATTTGTCACTCAAAGCTTTTTCTGTGGGTTTATTAAACTTGTTTAGATTGAAGGCTCAGAGAAATAAACGTTCGGAACCTTACTATCTTCCTTTTTATTATGAAGAGCGTTGAGAGAAGGGAGTCTTACGATCCAATCCTGAGAAATACCACACGGTATATATATTAGGTCTTTAGGGAAATCACTAAGTAGCGAAACATCTGTAATATCTCCTAGTACAGAGGTGGACCAAACAAGAACTCTGTAATATCTTCTAGTACAGAGGTGGACCAAACAAGAACTCTGTAACATCTCCAAGTACAGAGGTAGACCTAAACATGAACTCTGTCATATCTCTTAGTACAGAGATAGACCTAAACAAGAACTCTGTAATATCTCTTAGTACAGAGGTAGACCTAAACAAGAACTCTGTAATATCTCCAAGTACAGATGTAGACCTAAACAAGAACCTTGTAATATCTCCTAGTACAGAGGTAGACCTAAACAAGAACTCTGTAATATCTTCTAGACCAGAGGTAGACCTAAACAAGAACTCTGTAATATCTCCTAGACCAGAGGTAGACCTAAACAAGAACTCTGTAATATCTCCCAGTATAGAGGTAGACCTAAACAAGATTTCTGTAATATCTCCCAATAGAGAGGTAGACCTAAACAAGAACTCTGTAATATCTCCCAGGACAGAGGTAGACCTAAACAAGAACTCTGTAATATCTCCTAGTACAGAGGTATACCTAAATTGAATTCTGCAATATCTCCTAGTACAAGGGTAGACCTACACAAGAACTCTGTAATATCTCCTAGACCAGAGGTAGACCTAAAATTATTAATAAATTAGACAGGTAATTCAATAAATAGAAAGTTACTTGAAATTATGATCACAGTCCCTTAACTTTTATTCGTAGTTAAACCTTTCTCTAAATAAAAATGGCGTGCTGGAGACCTGAACGTCCTCGGTTTAACATCAAGTGCAGGGGAGTAGGAAGACGACGTATCATCCAGGTAAACCGATAGAGCCCGAGAAGCGCGAGGATAACTAAAATAAATAAATAATTTTTAAATTCCAAAATTTTTATTTTTTTTATGAAGATACAGTTGTCAAAACATGATTAATTCTTGACAAACATAGAATGTCGTCTTCTTATAGGACAATCATTTGTAAACATAATTTTTCAGATACAATTCTTGAAACAATAATCATAGTAATTTAAAACTTTTTTTTTTTTGACTCTTTTGTGTTTTCAAAATTATCGGAGATATGAAGAATTTGGTTTAGAATCTAAACTAAATTACAAAAATCCAAAACTGTCAAAATATCTTTGTAATTTTTTACACATGCATAGAAAAAAGACAATTTATCTTAAAATTGTAAAGTTATTTTAATCCCACTTTTTTATAGCTTCAAGGATCAAACATGCGCTCATTGCATCGTTTTATAATCATCATGTTTGATAAGGAAAACTGTAAATTATATTGGAATGTCATTTTTGTCTATTATGATGAGGTCTCTACGTATTAAATTCATATTCTTTTAAAAATCCTAATAGCAAATTTCTTAATCTCAATTTCCCCAATTACACCCACAAAATACCAAATTGCTTAGAAAAATAGAAGTAATTTGTTTGAAAATACACAAAAAAAGAATCATGTTTAAGAATATCAAAAAAGGATTGAAAAAAATAATACCTGGACTCTTCTTGTTTGCTTAAAGCATCAGGGACGGCTTTGTTGTAATATTTAGCAAAATAACTCCTTCAAAATGAAAAATATATTTTATATTTTACATCTCAATATCTATTTCAATGTACATATTACATATTACTAACTTGAATTTTTAATTTATATTGTTAAAAATTCAATTGTAATTAATAATTGATCTTTCTTAATAATATGACATCAAGCTATCTCTATAAATAGAAATCAAATCCTCAATGCTCTCCTCCCAGCCCGATCATGATGATCACTTTATTATAATAGGTTTTCATCTATTAGATATGTCATGTCTGCCTTGTTTAATTTTCCCTGTATGAATTAAGAACGTCATGTCGACATCAATGTCAGAAGCCAGATAAATGAATTGAACTAAAAAAAGTTGCGAAATTTTAAAGAAAAAATTTCGTATTTTTTTATTCCAAACACTGGTTAAGTATAATTTGAAGAATAAATCTAAACAAAAACTACCCTCTTATATTATCTAGGCAAAATGTGATCTAGGCAAACAGTGTCTAGGCAAAACGTTATCTAGGCGAAATGTTGTCTAGGCAAAATATTTTCTTGGTGAACTTGAACTAGGCGATCATATACAAGGTGAAAGTGTACAAGGCGAACTTGAACTAGGCGAACATATACTAGGTGAAAGTGTACAAGGCGAACTTGAACTAGGTGAACATGTACTAGGTGAAAGTGTACAAGGCGAACTTGAACTAGGTGAACATGTACTAGGTGAAAGTGTACAAGGCGAACTTGAACTAGGCGAACATGTACTAGGTGAAAGTGTGCAAGGCGAACTTGAACTTGGCGAACATGTACTAGGTGAAAGTGTACAAGGCGAACTTTAACTTGGCGAACATGTACTAGGTGAAAGTGTACAAGGCGAACTTGAACTTGGCGAACATGTTACTGAGTCTTCTATTCCATAGTTTCCCGATTCTAAATCTATGACATTTACTTACTTCGTCAAATCGTCGGCATCGGCAATAGTGGATGAATATGATGGTTTGGATGCATATGAGGAGGAGGAGGAGTAGGATGGGGTGGAGTAGGAGTTAGAGGAGTAGGAGGAGTGGGAGGAGATGGTTGAGGGATAATCATATTTATTGGAGGAGGAGGCCAGGTAATCATATCTTGTAGATGTTCCTAAACAAAACATTTTTAAATTTTCTATTTCCATTCTGGAATTTAGAAATTTTTTAGATTTTTTTACTTTTATTCAGTGGGAAAGAACAAATTGTACATGTGCTGGCAACAATTCTGCTGAAAGAAAATTTTCAGCTTTCAAAAGCAGAAATGATGAAATTTTGAAAATAAAATATTATAAAATTACTTTCACAGCAAACTTTGCACTGAAATTATCCGTAATGAAGAAAATCGGAATTCCGATTTTATCTGTTCGCGGCAATCAAATCGGCTCATTTCTTCGCTTGACAAAAAGTCCTTCACGGGAAATTAAAGGTTAAACTATCTAAAAAAAGAATATTAAGAGAAATAAATAATCTAGAAATTAAGTTCTTTATTCTAGAGATTAAATTTATTAAATTTATTAATCTAGAGATTAAATATTCATTAATCCATAAATGAGATAGTCTTAAATTTAGAGATAAAATATTAATAAATCTAGAATTAAATGTTAATAAATTTAGAGATTAAAATATCTCAAATTTAGAGAAAAAATATCCATTAATCTAGAAGCAGAAATTAAATATTGATTTATCTGCAGATTAAATATTCATTAATCTAGAGATTAATTATTGAATAATCTAGAGATTGAATATTGATTAATCTAGAGATTAAATATTCATTAATCTAGAGATTGAATATTCATTAATCTAGAGATTAAACACTAAATAATCTGGAGATTAAATATTTATTAATCTAGAGATTGAATATTGATTAATCTAGAGATTAAATATTCATTAATCTAGAAAATAAATATTCATTAATCTAGAGATTGAATATTGATTAATCTAAATATTAAACACGAAATAATCTGGAGATTAAATATTTATTAATCTAGAGATTAAATATTGACTAATCTAGAGATTAAATATTCATTAATCTTGACTATACCTGCTCTACTCCTAGGTTTTCCATCTGTTCTAGAGATTAAAGATTCAAATTTAGACTCATAACTGGGCAGACTGTAGTTGGGACTACTGTAGCTAGAATAAAACATGTTATAATCACTATTCCCTGCTCGTATTCTTTCTGATTTGTTTGCTTTTAATATTGCAGCGCCATTGTTCATATATCTTATTATGTTTCTGTTTTTATTTTATGTTTTATTTAATCTTTATGTTTTTAACCATTTCAATGTGTATGTACCAGGGCTAGATTTATAACAGTCGCAAACCTTTTAGTGCTCGATACAATTGTAAAATATATCTTTAATATAAATTTAAAATGTCGAAATACGTTATTATTATTATTATTATTATCATTATTACTTCTCTTGAACTTTTCATCCTGGAAGAAAGTATAGGCAGGAAACACATCACTATATGTACCTTGAAGTGTATGAATCTAGATAAGGGCTTCTGTACGATGAGTAAGTGGACCCAGCTGCAGTACAGTACAATGTTTATTTTCAAATGCAAAGCAAATTACAAAAAAAATTATCAATCTTCTCTTTTGTTAGGATCAAAGTTCAATTTGTCATTGCTTGGTTATCAACCTATTACTCTATAATGGGACCTACATAGCTGTGGAATAGGAAGACCCCTGTCAGAAGAAACTTAAACTACGGCAATTGCGCAGTGTACACGGACCCATTTTACTTAACAATTTGATTTTAAAGCTACTGATAAAACTATTTCCTTTTTTCAACATCGAATCCACAAAAAATTGGTTTAAAAGTCGTCTTCCCTATTCCGCAGTTGTATCTGTCCCACTGTAGGGGCCTTCTTTAGGTTTAGAAAAGGGGAGTTGTGTAATAAAATTTCTAAATAAAATGGCGGGAAATAATAAAACTATTGGTAATTTTGTGGGATATGATGTGGGCGTGTAATACACTGTAAACATAGGCAATATAAACACATCTGCACATTATTTGAATTAGGGAATCTTTGAATCCTTTCAAAATATATTTGCAGATATTCTAGCGTATAGTTGAAACTTTTTTCACAAGTCATGGATGTAACTTTTGTTTTGAATTATTATTGATAATAAATATTCCTGAACCGTTATATCGAGACATGATCTCTTTATCCACTAAGGATACAGCCCAGCTAGCCGTGTCAGTCAGCTTTCCTATATATAAGCTGTCAGGATAGACAGCTGTGCATCATCCTGCTTTCTCACCAGCTGTCTACAGCTGTCTACCAAAATAGTAATCTCACGCCTAGATTCCGAGAGTAGAGAATAAAAATTTGAATTATTTTTGGATTTTTACATTTCGAATTTTTCTACAATCAAAATTAATCTGTTATTTTACTTGATAATTTTATTCATTTTTTTTTATCATATCAAAAGTTTTGCAAGAGAACATTAATTAGTCTGGTGCTAGAGGTTTAGGGTAGGACGTCATGCAATGACTAACTAAAATTTTTGTTAACCAGTAAAAAAAGGTATAAAAGTCGACTTTATTATTTGTGTTGATTTTCCAAAAATCTCTAAATCAAACATTCTAATTTTGAAATATGTTAAAAGTTTCCTGGCCATATTTTATGGAACGTTATACTTTTTTAATTAGGACTAAAACAATCTAGACTTTACAGTACACAATGAATAGAATAAAAGATGTTATATTTTTACTAAAGATTTTCTAAACTCTAAAATATTTTAAAAGGATTTTCCGGCCCAGCATTAGTGAATCAGCTGTTTTGAACTCTAAAATCATTGAACTTGAATAATCTAAAAATAAGAAACATCAAGATTAGGAATTATTGAAAACTGAGGAACATTGAAAATATAAATGTTTATCTCAAATATCTTTATTCAAAATCAAATTAAAGTTAATGAGTCTTTTCTATTGCACCCATTGATGTCGAACCGTTTCAAGAGACTATGTTTTATGTCAGGTTGAATCATGAAAATGTATGGATAATGTTTAGCCGTTTATTGAACATGTATGGCTTATGTCAGTCAGTTTCTTAAAAATAAATGTTGTATGTTGGGCCGTTTTTTTAAAATATATGTTTATGTTGCACTGTTTTTAGAGAATGTATGGTTAATGTTGGTCGGTTCTTGAAAATGTAGGGTTCATGTGTATATCGGTACGTTTTTTTGATGCATTTTTTAAGATGCATGTTAAACCGTTTCTAGAAAATGTATGTTTTATTTCGGGCTGTTTCTTTAAAATGTAGGGATCATGTTTGGCCATTTCTTGAGAATGTATGGTTTATATTTGGCCGTTTTTGGAGAATGTATGGTGCAAGTTGGATCTTTTTTAGAAAATGTATGGTTTATGTCGGGTCGTTTCTTAATATATATTGTCTATGTTTGTCCGTTTCATGAAAATGTATGTTTATGTCGAACCGAACCGTTTTTTGAAAATTTGTGGTTTGTATTGCAGGTTCTTAAAAATGTAGAGTTCATGTTGGGTCGTTTCTTAAGAATGTATGGTTTATATATCGGTCCGTTTTTTGAGAATGTATAAGTGAATGGTGGACTGTTTCTAGAAAATGCAGGGTTTATATTGAACCATTACTTGAGAATGTATGGTTTATAATGGGCTTTTTTGAGAATGTATGGTGTTTGTTCGGCTGTTTCTAGAAATGCATGGTTTATCTCGGGTCATTTTAAGAAACAAATACCATAACTTTAAAATTCGGTGATGGTGATGGACCTAACCTTTGTAGAGTAAAAAAAGAAAATGTTAGTTCCACATTTATTGAAATTATATTTAGGTCTGGGTCAGTTCTTGAGATTGTTTCTGTCACAAAGATTAAAAACAAACTCCAAACAAAACAAAATATACCATAACATTTTTGAAGAGTGCATTGTTATAGGTAGCAAAATATTCAAAATCTGTAAACAAAATTAATCGGAGAAATCATAATTTTTCTTGTTTTATTTTATCACTGCATTTTGCAAACAAGTTTTTTTTTCGAGATTGTGATAAGGCAAACCCGCAAAAAATTATTACCGAGTTATAAAATTTTAAAGTTCTTTTTATACTTCAGTTAAAGGATACATGCACTGATAATTAAAAAAACTGCAAGAAGCAATAACGTGCGTAGTATCATCAGCATGAGATTTAATGATTTGCATATTTTACTTTCAATTTTTTACAAATATCAATCAACAAATATATGTTCTGTTCTAAACCAAGAAAAGCCTAATTATGAAAGCTATATACGATTCTTTAATATAGATAAAAAACTAATCAGTAATTTTGTAAAAATAGGGATTTTTAGGCGGCCCGGCACAAAATCTTCTAGGGGTGTGCACACAACAAATTAAGGTGTCCCCCCCTATAAAGCTCTCGTACTCCCCTGCACCAGACCAAAAAACGGAAACGCCTCAAAAGAAAGAGGAAACATCTCAACTTAATAAATTTAAAAAATTTTTTTTGGAAAAATAGAAACGCCTTAAAAATATGCGGAAACGCCTCAAAAAAAAGAGGAAACACCTCAACTAAATAAAGTTTTTAAAGATTTTGTAAAAAACGGATATGCCTCAAAAATATGCGGAATTGCCTCAAAAAAGAAGAAACACCCCAACTAAATAAAGTTTTTAAATTTTTTTTTAAAAACAGAAACGCCTAAAAAATGTGCAGAAACCCCTAAAAATAAGAAAAACACCTCAACTATAAATATTGAGATTCAGAGGCGCAACTAGGACTTTTGCTAGGGGGACTATGATTGGGAAACTACTCAAAAATATTCGGAAATGCCTCACCCTTTTCCAGTTTTGAGGTATTTCCTAAAATAAAGCGAAAATTCCTCAAAAGTGGATTTTAATGGTTTTTGAGGCATTTCCATGGTGAGGCGTTTCCATAGCACCGCCTTAATATTACGTGCTTAATGAATTTTTACACTGATAACCGGAAAATTCTGAAATAGGAAGACGACTTTTAAACTCAAGTAGGACTTGAGGTAGTTCAATGAACATTTGACATAGCAATTGGTACAAATAGACCCATTTCAATAAGCTTTTGCCAAGTTAATAGAAAAAATATTTGCTTGGTAACAAAACTCTTGAGTATTGCTTCAATGTCGTCTTTCTATTCCATTGTTTTCCGGTTATTACTTTATGAAATATTTAAATTAAGAATTCTTTTTTTCCCCAAGCACAGTAATAACAATTGCATCAGGCTCTTAATAAAACTCCTTTCCTAGGAAATTACCTAATTTCTTCCCTAGCTCTTTATCCCCTTATTTTTTTCTTTACCTTTGATAATTAACCCTAGCTGTTTTAAGCTGTCAATAAAATCTGTAACAGCTGATTTCGAATGCCGCAACCTTTTGTTTCAAAGTTCGGCCACAGCTAAACTCCGCGTAAACATTAACCTGCTAAGTGCTCACAGAAAACAAGGATTAATTTAATCAGAATTTCTGTTTAAATAAATTGATTTGTTGTGCTTCAACCAAGCGACTTTGAAGACGCCTGCCAAAGTGCGTTTTCCAAAAAACTTTATTTATCAGTTAAACAGTCTTTTTCAGAAAATATGAAAGAGGAAGAAGAAAACGAAGAAAAGGTCTCGAAAGTACAGATAGAAGAAATTGAAGTCGAAGAAGATGAACTGAAAGATGAAAAAGAAGAAACAAAATTAACGACAGAAGAGGAAAATATAGTTTATATTTTCAGCGATGAAGGAGTTGATGAGGAAGTAGTTTTAGATTCACAATCAACTGAACAAGGTAAAATATGGGTAATGCTTTGGTAACCGACCTTAGGGTGGTCAAAGCAACAAAGGATAAGCAATCAAACAGTAACAAATAGTAGACTCATGGGTAATCGACCTGGGTAATTTCCTTTTATACGATTTTTTGACACTACCCCTCCCCCCTCCTCCTATCAAGATTGTACATCATTTTTTTATTAATATTTAGGTAGATTTAAAAAGACGCACATGGACAAAGTTGGTCCTGTGGCCGCAGCACTCGGCCCCCTAGCCTGTCCTAGCGGCAGCGCTCGGTCCGGAAAGTGTCTTAATCTGACCTAACCCGTGGCCGCAGCACTCGGCCCCCAGCCTGTCCTAGCGGCAGCGCTCGGTCCGGAAAGTGTCTTAATCTGACCTAACTCTAAATATATACTATATATAAATATATATTAATTTTGTTGAAAATTGTTGGAATTGAAGGTCTGTCCTGGTCGCGGCGCTCGGCCCCTTGGCCTGTCCTTGCCGCAGCGCTCGTTCCTGAAATTGTCTAACCTAAACCTGAAATAATGTAAAATAAATTTTTTTGTTGTTAAAATCTAGGTCATGTACAAAAACCGTCTACTAGGACGCACCCATCGACCTGTGTGTTACCGACCTAAAATTCACTTGATTTTGCATAACTGACCCTATTTTTCTCTAAATATTATTCAAATGATCGGGGTCCGTCCTAGTAAACTTGAGACTAACTATCAGATTATGCAAGGATACTTATGCTTTTTGATTAAGCGAAAAATGGATTCATGAAACTATAAAAGTGAAGATCTAGAGAATCCGAATCCTATTTACATGGGACCATGATCAGATGAAAAGTCTGAAATTGATATTTTTTCTTCAGGAAATGTGTTTATCGTCGGAGGAGATGAATTCATATTTATAAGTAAGTTCAGCATTTGTTAGGATTATAAACCCTATGTTTAATCATTTATTTTCCTACCTCCCCTCCCCCCCCCTCCTTCTACGATCTGCGCTCTACAACGTGTTATTTAGATATGCCCAATGTACCCTTACAGTTACAACCTTTATCTTATCAATAAAATGGAAGATACAGGCGTTTTTATTAAAAGTTTCATTTTCCTGCAGTTTGTCTGTAGCAGAAATACTGAAAGTAACTTATATAGAAACCTACATTTACAGTATTAACGTTAAACATATCAACACAGGGGTACGTGTATATTTTCTCGAAAAATCATGTAAATTTCCCCCCTCTCCCTTTGTAAATCATTTTTTCTCCCATTATTTATATGTTTTTTTTAAAGAATTTATTTGCCATGAATTAGGGAAAATAAATGATTTTCAGGAATAGTAAATAAATTTTTGGGTAAAAAGTATTTAAAAGAATGAAAAGAGATGCCTGTTGATGTTCAATTGTTAACCCCCCCCCCCCCCCCC